ACATTTTTCCAAAGGGGTTAACCCATGGTTTTGGTCCAAAAATGGCCATTTTTCCAACTTTTTTTTTTAGGCAATATAGGTCAGGAAAATGTCTTTTATGATATTCTAGAACGAAAAAACGCCTTTCTAAGGTATAAAAACAAGAAGTTCAAAAAGTCGAAAAATTGACATTTTTCCAATGGGGTTAACCCATGGTTTTGGTTCAAAAATGGACATTTTTCCAACTTTTTTTTTTTAGGCAATATAGGTCAGGAAAATGTGTTTTATGATATTCTAGACCAAAAAAACGTCTTTTTTGGCTATAAAAACGAGAAGTTTAAAAAGTCGACAAATTGACATGTTTCCAAAGGGGTTAGGCCATGGTTTTGGTCCAAAAATGGTCATTTTTCCAACTTTTTTTTCTTAGGCAATGTAGGCCAGGAAAATGTCTTTTATGATATTCTAGAACGAGAAAACTCCTTTCTAGGCTATGAAAACAAGAAGTTCAAAAAGTGGAAAAATTGACATTTTTCCAAAGGGGTTAACCCATTGTTTTGGTCTAAAAATGACCATTTTTTCTTGTTTTTTAGAAGGCAATATGGGCCAGGAAAATGTGTTTGATATTCTTGAACGAAAAAATGCATTTTTAGGCTATAAAATCAAGAAGTTGAAAACGTCGAAAAATTGAGTTTTTTTTATTTGGGTCAGTTCCTGGTTTGGGGCAAAAATTGGCCATTTCTCCATGCCAGAAAAGATTGTTTCGTGATAATTTTGGACAGGAAAGAAGGTTTTCTAGACAAGAAAACTGATTTATTAAAAAAGTCAAAAAATCGACATTTTCCAAAGGGTTAGTCCATGGTGTTTGTTAAAAAAAAAAATGACCAGTTTCGACGTTTGCTTGTTTAAAAAAAAAGAAAAATTTGAATTTGTGGATCAAAATCATAGGTTAACCCCTTTGGAAAAGAATAACGTTTTATACTTTGAAAAATTCGTAGTCTTATTTTAGGCCTTCCCCACTGCGGACCACGTTTTGCACCACACATTGCCAGTGTTAAAAGAAATTTTCTAGGTCGTCCCTCCATCTCATCTTGGTCTTAATTCCTCCGTTAAATGTGTTTCCGCAGGGGTGTCCCGAACGTAAAGCAGGTTGTCGAACGGTTGTCTGTTATTCTCGCCAAATAACCAGCCCAATACCATTTGAGTTTGATTATCATTTCCATGATATCTCGTACTTTGTGTTTTTTGCTCAGATCTATTGGGCTGTTTTATGATCTCGCCATCTGATTCTCTCACGCACTCTGTCCAAAGTTCGGAGTTTAAAGGTTTGTTGTTTCGTAAAATTACAGGTCTCATATGCATAGTTGACTGTTGGTAAGATCTATTGAACGTAAACGTGACCTTTGAGAACGATTGGAATGTCACTGAAGATTGCTCTCGCTCGAGAACGTGTGTATGTGTAGTACACAACAAATGTATGTTGTGGCTCAAATTTATCCTTGGTTTTACTCATTATCATACATGACCACTGACACCCAACAACAAAGGAAAATAGAATTTAAACCAAGGATAAAGTTGAACCAAAACATGAACACCCAAGAAGGAAAACACTTTTATTTCAATTTTCGAAAGTAATGTACAAAGTTCTAACTGTCAAATAATGAATATTTTAAATTTTGACTATACTACTCAGGAATAGACTTAGTGTGTAAGCAAAGGAGGGCTTGGACAAAACCATCTCTGCGAAGTACATACAGCAACTAGTGATCTGCAACAAACTATTTTAAAGTCAAGTATTAAAGGGCATAACCCTGACTGGAGGTGTACAACATTGCAATTCTAAAGCTAATCTTGGGTTAGCTAAAAAATGAAGCCAGACTCTGGGAAATCTGGCAGAGCTGAGCTACTGGTTACAACTTATACAAGCGGTCAGACGGAGGCCAGAAAAAACCTGCCCATAAAACCCCGAGGGGGAAAAAGGGGGCAGGAAATCTGGGTAGGAACCAAGGCTCAAGCTCCAAAGTCCTTCCTACGGGACTTTTACATGGCAAACTAGAAACGACCACCTGAAACGAAGGTTGGTTTTGAAGGCTAGTGAAAGAAGCCACGATAAGCGCTTCACCTTTTACGATCCTCTACTTCACGAAATGTTTTCTGTAAAAGTGACTTAGTGCTGATCGTACAACTGCTGATATGGTTTTTAAAGAGGAGATAAATGCTAGCAGCATTTCAATCTGTTCCACATTCAGTGCTCTGTTCTTACAATCCATTATTTTTTTCACAGAACAACAATTCAGATTTCCGCTTCTCTGTAATGCACGACACTTTATTGGGGCTCTAGGTTCTCTTCCTCTGTTAAGCTGTTAATTATGAGAAAGAAATCTAAAATTTTCCATTTATTCCCCTCTGGCTATCCCATAATCCTGTGCGCATGCATAACTAAGTCCTCGATTACTGAAAAATCTTTATTTTTTGGATATGAGTATCCAATGTTAACCGCAGCTATTGCTAGTCGGCTTTGTGGTAAACGTTATCTTCATTAACATGAATCAAAATTCTCAACTACAATACAGTACGACTTTTTAGGGCTATTTTGGATGGAATGGGCATTTCAAAGAGCTGTTTTGGTTGTTGTTGTTGCTGTTTTGAGTTCAAATGGCTCCATCAGAATTTGGTCTGCAGGGCCGCTAAATTGATACTTTGGTGTTAGTAATCTTTTTACCCCTTTCTTTTCAATTTATGAAGCACTCCTCGCAAATGACCTCTCTTCTCCATGGTCTTTCTCCTTCAACAGTGGCGGGTAAAAAGACCTCTCCTTTTGACGTACATTTTATTGACTAAGCTTTTCCAGCACGATTTTCTCAGCGAAAGACTCGTAAACTTACTTCGCTTCAGTGTTGCCGATGTTTTATCCATGATGTTCTTGTCCAGTACTAATCTTCCTCTTCCACTTTCTTACTCTTGTTCTTTTGCTTTGGCAGATCCTCCTAAAACAACGAAGAATTATAAATTAGATTTTACAACCTGACTCTGTAGACTGCCCCTTACTCTCATATCAGGCTAAACCGGAAATGACACAAGCTTCAACTTAAGAGTAATACAAGAATATTTTGAGCCTAAAACTGGGAGAAAAATAAGAATATTTCCCCTGGGCCACAAAAACAAAATTCTTAGAAAAAAGAAAGAATGCACTCCTTATAAATCAAAAATTGGACCAAATTAACCCTCTTTTGTTAACTAGGATACAAAACTCTATCATGATCAATATAAAAAGTATCAGCGGAAACGAATTTTGAGCTGTGTCCGCGATTTTTGGATTATCTCCGATTCTTACTGACGTTGAATCATAACTCGGTAGGCTGCTTAGTCTGATATCTGAGATATCAATTGAACGCTAACCAACACAATTCATTTGAAGAGCTGTATTGTCAATAATATAATAATCTGAATCATACAGCGAGCTAAGTTAAAAAAAAAACTCTGAGGTAAGAATTAATGACAGTTTTTCTAAAGATATTTGATACATTTCACCACTTTCAGGGTAGCAGCCTTTTGCAGTAGCTGTTATGGCACACTCATAGAAGAGTAAATTTGTAAGATAAGCAAAGTAACTTGACATTCATTGTAAACAAGACCACGAAAACAAGTGTAAACATACTTTCTCATAGTTGCAGCAGTACCTGATCCTTGAGGCACTTTTTACTGGTGTCTGTTGGTTTGGAGCTCTCGGCCAATTTCCACTGTAAAAAGTATTTGAAAATAAATTGAGAGAAAAAAAAAATAATCAGTTTGATTAATCATCTCTGCTTAAATTGAAAACAGATTAATTTAACTTAATTTTATAACCCTAAGCTTGGCTTACTGTGTAATTAAGGTTTTCTGACGTATATCACATATCCACCAAGCCGCTTACTCATTAAAAACTTTCGCTTATAAACAAGTTTACAACAAAAACTCAGGGCTTATTAATAAAACGTAAACGCGACTACAGCCCAGCAAACAAGAATGTACAAACGGCCTAGAATTACACATTAAAATTAAGTCAAATAAGTTGATTTTTCTTGCAGAAGAAGGTAGCAAAAACTTACCAGTTCATCCATGTCTAGTAGTACCGCATTATAACATGGGTAGACTTCATGTGCAGGGCAAACAATAAATTCAAAATGGCAACACTCGTATCTGTCAGAAAACAGGGACAGAAATCATTATTCTGAATACTTGTATACACAAAAGAGAAATAATAAAATTAGAAACAATCCTTGATGCGCGTACACACGGAAAAAATACTAAACCGAAGGAAATTTTCCAAATCAAACATTTCTTTACTATTTCTTTAAAAGTTAAAAATAATTTATTAAGGTTGAGGCGCTACGACTACACTCTTTCTTTTTTACCAAAATATATTTTATAAAATATCGCTACTGAAATCTGAGACTGAGATTTTCAACAGGATTTATTAGTTTGTGTTGAAAATCTGTTAATAAAATACAATTGTTTTAAACTTATCTGATATAATTGACCCTTTCTCTAAGTAAAAAAAAATTAGGAACCAAACTTCAAAAAACTGCACCGTTAACAAAGTCAAATGTTCAATGCTTATAACAGTTCGATAAAAGGTCCATTGATACCCCAACACATCATGAACCAGAAATGATATAAGCTTCAATTTAAGAGTAATACAAGAATATTTCGAGCCTAGTCATTCAGATAAAATGATGGATAAGAATCTGTCGAAAGTCAACAATCACGAAAGAACGATGGCTTTGCTTTGCTCGAAGTATGGCCTCTTATAAAGCCAGCCGTTGCTAAGGGAAATTGTGATAGTATATATTATAAAAGACCTTTCTAAAAAAGAAATTCATTACGTAATGTACTCATACCAGCCAAACTGTAAAACTCGAAGATACAACAGTTCAACCAAAAGCAGACGTCTGTGGTCAGTCAGGATTCAGGATTCCAAGTCTCCACCTAATAATTTTAGCTCCAATTATGCAAATCTTCGCTTTGACCTGGAAAGACTGAATAAAAGTCAAAGCCTACAAAGCCCAGTGTTGTGGCCGATCTAAAACAACAACACTAGAGACAATGAAGGAAAAAGGTTAGAAATTTGAGAATAAAATGTGCTCAACCATCACCTGTAGAAATAAAAAGAAACTAGAAAGTTAAAATACGTTTTTGCTTTCAAAAGAATCTCAATGAGAGGGGTATCTTATGGTTATTATATCTCCAGTATGAGTTTCCAATTTGAAAAGTACCAAAATTGGAGTGGTATCCCTACGTTTCTCTATCCCCTGATTTATTGTGTAAATTCGGTTTGAGTGTCAGCGGTTTACGCAAAATACGTTTCAACGCCTATACACCCTGTCGAATTTCCACAAAAAATCAGTTCCAAACAAACCAGGATTCCCGTTGTCCACGTTAATAATTAATAATTTTGGAGTGGTATCCCTACGTTTCTCTGTTCCCTGATTTATTGTGTAAATTCGGTTTGAGTGTCAGCGGTTTACGCAAACTACGTTTCAACGCCTATACACCCTGTCGAATTTCCACAAAAAAATCAGTTCCAAACAAACCAGGATTCCCGTTGTCCACGTTAATAATTTTAGATTGGTATCCCTACGTTTCTCTGTTCCCTGATTTATTGTGTAAATTCGGTTTGAGTGTCAGCGGTTTACGCAAAATACGTTTCAACGCCTATACACCCCGTCGAATTTCCACAAAAAATCAGTTCGCAAACAAACCAGGATTCCTATTATCTGCGTTGATAATTGTACTTTCGTCTGGACCTCCTTCGCTTTAAAAAAGAAAGCGGAAAAAATAGAATCATGGTCAATAGAGTTTGCTTGGCAATCCCAAAGCGTGCTACCATCACCTGTAGAGATAGGAAGAAACTAAGAAGTTAGCACATGATAAGGTTCCAATTTGAAAAGTGCCCGATTTAGGGTGGTAACCCTACGCTTCTCTGTTCCCTGTTTTTTTGTGTAAATTCGGTTTGAATGTCAGCGGTTTACGCAAAATACGTTTCAACGCCTATACACCCCGTCGAATTTCCACAAAAAATCAGTTCCAAACAAACCAGGATTCCCGTTGTCCACGTTAATAATTTTAGTTTGGTATCCGTACGTTTCTCTGTTCCCTGATTTATTGTGTAAATTCGGTTTAAGTGTCAGCGGTTTACGCAAAATACGTTTCAACGCCTATACACCCCGTCGAATTTCCACAAAAAAATCAGTTCCTAATCAAACCAGGATTCCCATTGTCCGCGTTGATAATTTTATATTGGGGTAACCTTGATCTTCTCTATAATAGAAAGAGATTAAAGGTTAAAAGGCCAGAAATCTAGGAAGCTGAAGGCTTGCAAACTCAAAGTACTCACCTGTTGATGCCGAGAGTGAAATTCCTGCTAAGAACTCCCAGAAACAGAAGCTTTGATATCAATTCCCGCAGTTTGGCAGGGACAGGAACTCTGAAACAATAACGAAAAGTTCAAATACACATTGCACATGTAGTGGTGTTTTTTTTATTAAAATAGACGCTAATCGGGGTTTAAAGGATTTTTTGTAGCAGTCGATGATTTTTGATTCCGGCCAGAGATAATTGTCTGTTGCATCATTTGCTATACAGTACCAACAATGTACATGGCAGATAATACTGAGATCAGTATTAGGTATGTACGTTTACTTAATTACACATTCTACCCTCTGCGCGATCTGCCACAAAAATTACCCACGACTTGCTCCACGGAGGGTTCACCGCATAATCAGTAGAGCAACAGCAGATCCAACTTGGAGATCGTCCGTGGGTGCGAATCATGCAGAGGTCAAAACACTTTCTCTTTGCCTCGTGTGGTCCCCAAATTCCTTTTACTTGGCGTAACGCTTATTGGGGCTTATGGGTTGAACCTACCAGAAGTTGGAAAGTTTTTAGTTCCTTCCATTCTTGTCAAGCTTTCTCATATGGACATCTCGGTTGAAATCTGATACAACTTCCACCTGGACATGTATCATTTCCCTTTCGCAGCATTTTACTCCTACAAAAAAAGACAGTATAACATGAACGTTATCCTGGAGAAATAATGATTACAAAAATCAGTAGTACTGTTTACTGAATCAATAGCCAATGAGAACTCTGAAGGGAAACACCATATGAGAGTTGCGTTTGTCTTTTTTATAACAAGGTTGCTTTGTCTGCAGAATTTTAAAACTCTTTCTTCACTCTACGGCCTCCCTTTAGTAAGTGCAATGTGTAGTTGCAGAAAATATCCATAATCCCCTACGGAGGGCAACGGAAATTCCGAGGGGAGGCGGGGATGTCGAAAAGGAGGCAATTACCTAGGGAATCGGGGGTTGCTTACAGAGGTCTTTTTCTAGGGGGTCTGAGTAAGATTGGTGAGTTATTAATAAATAACAGCTTCTCTGTTGAGAAAGCTTACATCACCTATTTTACTGTCACCGGTGTTTCAAAGGAAGTATTATTGTTTGCATTGATCATCTTTTTTCTGGTAGGGTTGACTAAATGCTTTTTTCAATAGTTTTCTTTAACACGATACAGTCGAATCTCTTTAATACAGACACCGGAGGGACAGAGCGTAGTGTCGGTATTAGAGAGGTCAATATGATGACATCACGTTTAAGACCCTACTGATGGTCAATGATGCTATTCATTCAAAGGAAAAAGGAACAGTCTTAATTACTCCTTCAGTTAACATAATATGTTTCCGTCATTTGTTACAGTTACATAGAACAGCACTGCATACAGAATACGTATTGAATTGGCTATTGCCACAGTATTTTCGATTACCGTATTTGCAATTATAAATGTAAGTTTTTAAAACTAACATTTTGACATTTTCTGGTATTGGTATCGCTGACTGACTAAGTGTCAATGTTTGTAACCGCCGACAGGAAATAGCACATACCGCAAATAATCGACACCTGTTCCCTGGTTGGTTCCCGGGGTTTCCGTAATAAAGAGGTTAAGTTCGTATGAATTTGCACCCAAGGGCTGAGATTTTGTGTCCGTTGTCCGTATAGGAGAGGGTTTTTTTTAGAGGAAATTTACGATAATTTTGTCGGTACATAGTAAACTGTCAGTATTTGAGAGGTGTCCGTATGGAGAGGTTGGACTGTTGCTTTATTACACATTTGATTCACCATAACTTGGTAGAGTTCTAAGCCTTCTTGTAGCCCCGGGGGGAAGGGGGTACTTTAGGAATTTCTGGGTGAGGGTGTGCCGCTGTGACCCTGGAACCCTTAACCTATACCAGAGCTAGTTCAGCTGAATTTTGCTACCCTTTACTAGAGTAAACTCTCAAATCCCCCCTATCCTGGAGTAGCTGTTTTCCAGAAACTACTGAGGTCACTAGCACTGGCACAGTCTAGCCAAAACAAAACCTTACACCACAATCCCTAGTCTACATAAAATCTTCAACCAACTGATCAGTTTCCTGAAAAATGATACCCTATTCTAGACCCAAACGCTCTGATTTATATACCCTATCCTAGAGTAAACTGCTTGAAAACCATACCCTTCACAGCGGCACATACCTCTCCCGGGCTTGTAGCATGTTCTAACTGAAATGAAGTAATGAAACTTCACGTGGTGTTTAGTTTGAATGTAACTGGTTCTTTTGTAGATGACATTTTTCGTGTAGTCGGTAGTATAAGGTATTGTCTGTATGGNTTTTTCACCCCCCCCCCCCCCCCCGCCCCGGAATATCAACAACCAACCCCCTTGACCCCCTGTAAAGTACTATTCAATTGATCAAGTCCCTTTTTAATACGAAGTCTTACATGAAGTATAGACCATCACAATTTGTCTTTATGGTTGTAATGACGAAATAATCTTTGTCAGTGATAAAATATGTGCAAATTGAAATATGCCTGAGAAACCAAACTATGAATCAAAGAAAATTCGAAGTTTGGGAGAAAATGGGATAAATTTCAAATTAACGCACAAATCGTTTCTTTTTGGGAGATTTGTTGACCCGTACGGGAGACCGGGAGATTGGTGTCGTATCCGGGAGAGTTAGTATGTATGTCAGTGCAACAGGCGATAGGTGATAGGTTGCATTGACTGCTCATTCTGAGGTTCCTGTTCTTCGCTACTTTGTACAATTTTTCATACCAGTCTGGTACATGTTGCTCAACTTCGTTCCCAGGGTTCTCTCCTACCATCCCTAGGAGAGAACCCTGGGAACGAGGTTGCAGGTTGCTTTGCAGCTGGGCTTTCCAGAAAATCTTTCTATTTGTTTACAAATACTTGTCCAGTACCTTCTTGATCACGCCAAGCATTGTTCTGATTTGTGTGCCATGGTTTATACTTCAGCAACTGGTATTTACAATGAAGTCAATAAAGTGGAAAGTTTGGTCCCTTCACATTTGACAAGAAAAATTAAAATTGAAAATACTCTAGGTATCATTTTCTTAGTCTAATTTATTAGCTTGTCATTTGCTACTTTGAAATTTTTTGCAAAATTGATGACATTCATTTCCATAATGTCAGAGACATATTTTTGGCGTTTTGAATTAGTGCCAAGAATAGAGTCATGAGTTGTAATATCTGCACCTGCTCTGTTCACTTTTTACCCTACGAGGGCCATTCAAGTTTATGGGCACTAATTCAAAACGCCAAAAATATGTCTCTGACATTATGGACATGAATGTCATCAATTTTGCAAAAAAATTTCAAAGTAGCAAATGAATGAGCAACTTGTCAGCTTCAGACGCAGCAAATGGTGCATTTTAATCTCTTGTGCAGAATAATAATCTTCAGTTGAAACCTCTTTGCTGCATTTATTTATAAGGGCCTCAAAACAGCTTGTGCTGCCAAGGACACCTTTTTGGATGTAGCCAACGTGTAGCCACACCACAGCTTATCGGGGCATGAGGGGGGGGCGGGGGATGGGTGATGCAAAAGAGAGAGACCCCAGATTTTAGATTTCCAGGGGTTAGTATCTCTGCAGCCAGTGAGCGGCCAGTGTGGTGTCTTGATTGATGGCTTCTCACAAGGTTCCTATGGATATATTTTTGTAGTTAATTTTTTAACTCAGGTAATTTTTATTTTTCTTTTGTTTTAACATTAAAGTCTCCCCCCCCCCCCCCCCCCCAAAAAAAAAACATTAACTGAGATAAAATATTACTTACAACGTATACATAAAGAGGTCTACATGTTTTTCACTGAGTGTTTCATACATTGAATCGTTTAACATTTGCATCATACACTCTGCTTGGTACTTGTATCAAGGCATCAACAGCGAATTTGTTTTCAAGATAGCATTGTCTAGTAGCAGCCTTGGGGGGTCTTGCAATGTTACCTACCTCTTCAGCTGATTAAGGCAAGCTTTCAGTTCAAGTTTTCATGCGCCCAGGTGGCCTCTGAGGATTAAAATGAGTGCTTCATGTTCAATTTGCCTTGCACAGGTATTTTTCTGGAAAATTAAATGTGTTTATTGCTATCAGACTACAGTGTATAACTTCTACTTACACTGTGGTTATCTGTGTTAGGTTACAATGACTATAAAGACTACTAAATGAAAATGTTGTTGTTAAGGGAACTCAGGTTTCTGAATCGCATTTGTTCTGTTTATCTAGAGAATTACTGTAGATGACTGATTTGTTGTTATATAATAATGATACAGTATAAAAGTTGCTTATCCAGGGCAGGAAAAAAAATTTAAACCCACCTGTCCATGGTAATGTGGTTCTAACTTAGTTCTTGTCTATAATAAGTCATATATGTTGATAATTGTGCAAAATTAGCATGGGTAATAACATGATTTGTAGTGATTTTGGCATAAATACCACAAGTTATATTTCAAAATTGTTATATGGAATTTCACGAGCCATTAGGCAAGTGAAATTTGAGACAATTTTGAAATATCCTGAGTACAGTATTTTATGCCAAATATCATGTACAAATCATGCTATTATTTGTTTTTCACCACCCATAAAGGTTTTGTAATTTTCACATGTAGGTAATCATTTCAAATTAAGCTGAAATACCACTGTTCTAAGCCAATCAAATTGCAGAAATTCCTCATGTAGTAGTATAAAAGGAGTAATAATTTAGTAAGGGTGATTGCAGAAGCCATACTCTATGGACAGCCGAATAAAATGGACAGTTTTGCTTGCCCCACCAAAAGGTCATACCTATTTTCTCTCAAAGTAACCCGCCTAATACAGACACCACTAAATATTGACAGCAGATACTTTTCCATGTCCCATGTCACAAAGTCTCTTAATGTACCTGTATATAACTGTTACAGTGAAACCTCTTTTAAGCGGACACCCTCTATTAAGTGGACACTTGGGGAGGTCCCGAAAGTGTCCGCTTAATAGAGCTTTCATGGTACTAAAATATTTTTATTATCCATCATCAACCCAGCTTTACAACTAGTTCTTTTCTGTGCACTGTTAACATTGACTGAATATGTTATCAATGAAAACCTAATAGAAATTAAAATGGCAAGTGACTTCTACTTTAGCCTGAATTTCATCCAATTGCTTTGAGTCATTTTCTCCTCTCAGCAACGTCTGAGTTGACTGGCCTTTAATGCCATTCAGTGATGTCACTACTCCTTTGCTTTCATTCATGCAAAAAGCAAAACACGATTTTCAAGTGGCAAACCAAGAAATATCGCTTGGAAATATCTGCATGACACAGAATAAGTATTGCTTTACTTTTTTCGATTGTAATTCATGTTTAACATTCAAACTATCCACTGCATGCAGTACAGCTCTGAACCGGTTTTAATTCCATAACTAAACGCGGTTGCAATCACGGTTGCAATCACACACATGGAACACTTAGTTCAAAAACACAATGATTAATGCTTTAATTGAAAAGAAGCTATTTGGTCCTTAACAAAGAAAAAAAAAACAAGGAAACAAGAAAGAAAACTAACAGGATCATTACACTTGATGGTGAAAATAGCAAGAAGGTCGAATTATAAAATGACATCTACACATGAAATGAAATCTCGGCACCTTAGTTAAACGGAACAAAAATCAACTTTGCCATTACATGACAACCGAGCCAGCCCAGTACTGGCTGGAATTTTTCTGAGTAATCACGCTTGCCTGGCAGCCTGATAAATGAACCAAGCCAGGAACATGAAAATACGCACTGCTTCCAATCTCTATATAAAGCTGGTGGCTCCGGGCTGGCCCTTTTCATGCAATACCGGGATAAAAGTCACCTCAGCAGAGCTTCCAGTCCAGGTCATGTGTTCAGGCCCCTGCTGTGCTACAAGCGCCTTTTGGGACATTTTTTCTTAAAATTTTCTTAGAATAAGATTCTAATGGGAAAAAAGATAATTGTGCCATGATTGGATGTAATAATCATCGCCTTTTTGTAGCTTAGTATTAGAAATATGGTCTTTTATTGTATACTTCTCAGGAAAAAGGCGATCATTATGACATCCAAAAACGGCACAACGATGTTTTTTCCCATTACAATCTTATTCTAACAAAACTTTGAGAAAAAATGCCCCGAAAAAACGTTCGTAAATACAAACGAAATGTGCTCATGCCCCCTGGGCATCCTATAATACTCCTTACATCAAATTAATTCAATATGGCCGCCATATGGGTAAAAGGGTCTATTCAAATGGAGACAAGTACCCCAAAAATTGACCTGGCTAAATGATAACATCATATAAAAAAACAGAGCTATTTCCTGTAATGTGATATTTGAAATATCATTCCTCATGAACTGATTTTTTATAAACACCTCACAGAAAGAATGAAAATGGCTTAAATTCTTAGGTGTGATCCAAACCTGTTTTAAATTCCAAATATTTTTGACAGATTTAATCCCTGGATTTAATACTTCCAAATTTCTGAAAAAACTGGCCATAATAAAAAAGATAAGCTTCAGATTAAGTTCATCTTTTCCTCCACATTGAAAATTATCCCTGCGTTGCTTTAACATGTTCATTGCTTGTAATTCCTTTGTCCACACACTGTTACGAATTGCTTTTCTTTGTTGCAAGCTTTTGAGATTGTAAAAGTGGGATCAAGTATGTATGCTGTTTGCAGAGCTTTCTTTTCGGTATGCTTTTTATCTTGTACAAGACATTCGCGTGGCAGACATTCCTGTTGCTTGGCTTGTTTACATTCACACATATTGTGTGCCTATTGCAACTTTGAATAAAAACAAGCGATTACTTTATTTGGGCAACATGCATATAATAATTAAGGTTCTTGGTTGTGGTTTAGTTTTCTCACACCTGACTGGCTTTTTTTCTTGCAACACAATAACATTCCAGAAATATTTTTTAAAAGTTTATCGCTCAGTACATGTAAATTCCAAATGTACCCATCCCCCCCTAAAAATATACCCCTAGGCATTTGTCGGGCATTTGTCATCTTGTTGGTTCCGGCGGAGGGGAAATTCTCGGAACATCTCTGCCCAGGGGTGGGGGATTTGTCAAATCTTCTAGAAGCTGTTAACCTCATTCCTTTTTCAATATTTCACTTAAAAATATGCCTATTTAGATAGCTTTAGATATTTCTATATAGAATATTTTTTATAATTACGCTTTAACCATCACATCCCTATGCCACAGTATTTTTTACATCCATCTACGAAATCGCTTCTCACCATCGTGATCAGTTCGCACATGGATGAAAAACAATTTATCCATAAATTGTTTGAAGAGTTTAAAGGAAAAGACACCTTCTTTGTGCATAAATTATTGAGGCAGAAAGACCTAGAAAAACTTTGCGAGATATTTGAAAGCTATAATAAACTTTGTGTGATGTACGATCAATGAAACAATTCATACACTGACAAAACGGTTCCATGAAAATCATGAAAAGAAAATACTCATGTTAAGCTCATCGGTAGTTTGTTTCTCATTCACTATATTAAACATCTTCGAAAATGAGCAAGGTATTATTAAAATTCTAGTTTATAGTTTTGTCATTGATATTAATCAGATGGAAGGGATTTTTGCAACAATTTTCACAGGCGGCTAGGGGCGATTTGTGTACGGTGCCTCATGCGTTTTGATCAAATTATTATAGATTTTCCATAAATATAGTATTTGCAGCTTACCTACTGGAAATACAGTTTTGGAGTTGTCCCGGAGTGTGGCATTTGTACCCCATTTCTAAGCCCCGCCGTGGGGCAGTTGCAGCTTTTCCAAATACCCAACAAATGCCTGGGGGAGAGGGGGGAATGGAATTGACAGAGCCATTAATAAAGAAATAAATGTAATTTTACCAGGAAAGTTGTCTATTTTGTGTGATATATAATATCTAAACAAAACAGCCCTAAACTCGTTCGAAAATATAGAGCAACAAGGAATTTTCTAAAAATTTATTTTCTGACGCTGTTACATAATGCTAATGAGATGCATAATGAAATTCAACACTCGTGGTTTGCTGTTTACCTTCAAAAGACGCTTTATTTTTTAGTTTTTCATCGAAATATCGGGTTAAAAACAAGCACATATGAATTTACAGATAGAATTCATCAAAATAAGCAAGGCTTTGAGGGCAAAAAGCTAAGCGGGAAGGAATATTCGTCTCGTTTGAAGAGTATCAGAGTATGTGTGGTAGACAACGGCTCAGCGATTCTTACTGTTTTCTTACCTGGATTTTCGCGTTTATCTTGCTTTTTATCCTCCAGAATCCTTCAAAATACTTTGCTTGACTTGTATTTGGTCAAAATGCCTCGATACAAGCTTTCATATTCAATTCATTCTTCGCAAAACGCGCTACAAAATCCCTGCCGCATTTCTCTCTTTTCAAAAATACGCTAACAACCGATTGGGGACTGGAACTAGCCACATAATTGGGCAAAATTTGTGGAAGTGGGCCGTGTTTGGAGTAACGCAAAGCTTTGCCGATGTGTTTTTTTAGCTCATGGATGACGTAGTCATGCCATGGGCTTTTGGAGGCACTCGAATGGCACTCGATCACTCACTCACTCACTCACTCACTCACTCACTCGATTCTCATTAATTTATTCATTAAAGTCAGATTAAACACGTTACTCCAACCTCCCTTACTTAGTATTACTTTTTTTCCAAGTGCCTTTTACGTATATGTTTGGAATATTCTAGAGGGTACTAGTAAGGCGAATTTTTTTTTCCTACACATCAATTATAGAGATGGGTTTTGTATAAATGGAAATATTCTAAAGAACACTTATAATATCATCCGCAAGAAATGGACTCAGAATTGGTAAAAGGACATTGAAATAATTGAGCGTGGATCATTGTCATATATTTGGACGAATTGTGCACATTTGTTCCCGATATTGTACTTGATATGGAGAAGATGCGATCAACAAGAGTGTGAAAGAGCTATTGCAGCCTGACGATGGGATTTCGTTCAGCGAAAAGCGAACAAGCCAAAGAGCCTTATAATCACTGCAAAAAAACGGTCCTCGAATTGTTAAAGCGACATTGAGGAGTATCTATTGAGGTTTATTCAGTTATTTGGACGAATCCGTTCGACCATTTGTCTTTGTATGCAAACAGGGAATGAATTAATGTTGTGTCAACTAGAAGCACAGGTTTTAAACCCAACAAGCGTTATGCTATTTCGCTTGAATTCTTAGGTGATCTTTGCCTTAAGGTAGGCTCTTGTTTGTCGGTGATTCCATTTAGCAGTGCTATTAATGTAATTTCTACAAGAAATGCTGCGCTGGTATAAACAAGTCTCTGGCGAAAGGCAATCGGATACTTCGATTGCGTTTAAATTACTTGGCTAGGTCAGAGCACGTACTGCTTTGAGCTTAATCCGTTTTACATGTATTAAAACAATTTTTAGCTCGTGTTTATCAAAAACGCGTTCTAAAGCAGTTCAATTTAGCCATAAACGCCCCTGTATTTTGTATTTAATATAGCTCGTATTACATATACTAACTGTTACGTACTCATCATATGGAAAAATTTATTTGAAAGCATCGCACTTTTAAAACCACGGTTTAAATAAAACTCAGGAATGCAAAACTTGGCTATTTTACAAGAAAGTGCACTGTCGTTCGGAAAGTGTTTGACAGTCACATGAGAAAGCAAATTATTTTACAACTAAAAAGCGTTAATAATTGCTTTTAAAAGTGATCTTTGCTTTGTAAGTAGAAATGCTGCGCTGATAAAAAGTTTCTAGAATATTAAGGTACACATGCAATCGGATACTTCGAGTCACGCTGTATTTTGGCAAGTCCGTACACAATGAACCGTTCAAAAAGATTTATATGTTTTTCTTTGATTATTGAACTGTCTTTTCTACACTAATTCAATTCATCCGTGAGCTCGCTCCTAGGAGCCTTTGATTTGGTTTTTGGGACCGGGAGACAATTTATGACTCTCGATGCTTAGGCAAGCAAGACTAAATATGATTTGCAATGCAGCGAAGAAATAATTACATCACCGCAAACTGTATCATGTCCACATGTGAAGTATTATAGAGTTCTTCTTGATCAATTTCTTACGAATGATAAAAATTTTTAATCTGTTCGGATTACCTAGCTGAAAGTCTAGTGATCCGAAAATTATAGGGATCAAAACTTATCTTTTCGAAAATTTCAGCCCGATAAAAGGCTCCCGAAAATTCTAGGTGATCTTTTTAGGGTAAAAATCCGTTAAAGATGGGCCCACTTATACCATTTTTTAGATGTTCAAAAATCCTAGGAGAGGCAGGCAAGCAAGAAATCTTTCAACAAATGTCCCGAAAATTCTAGATCTCAAATCGTCTTCCGAACAGATATTTTCCGAAAATTGACGTTGGGTGCTCCTGAAGTTTTCGCTTTAAACTCTTCAAACAATTCATGGATTGTGTTTCTTCAATTTGGTATATCGGGGTCAAATTTTCAGAGGTAACTGAAATTGTTATCCTTTTTCAATCTTCAGAAATTTCATTTTATTAGCTTTATCAGATAATGATAAGCCTATTCTAATGAGACAAAAAATGTAAATAAGGATTCGCCTAATCACGTGCATCAAAATTTTTATCGCTCTACAAGCAAACCTGCAAATACACTGTAAACTGTGAAGCATATAATAATAAGAGTGATCTATACTAAGTTTTGATATGTCCCAGGGCATGTATATACCAAATTCGCCTTGTATGCGTGTTTACAATAAATAGGTTTCGGTAAATAAAGGGAAAGGGTCACGTGACTCATTAATTAGTCAAATAACTAATAGGATAAATAACATTTCCAATCATACAAGACGAATTTACGATTTACACTGTCTATTATAACTCAACATTTTGGTAGCAAAAATTCTTAAGATAAGATTAAGGTTTGCAACCCTTCCCCGTTTAGGAAAACGTGTTTTGTGACGTCATTGACGAACCAATGTCATGTGATATTTGGAATCACGTTTCACTTGTGTTTTCGTTGAGCCACATTTGTAGTTTACTTTTCAGAATCAGTGATGGGAACAAACCGTTTGTAAATGGCACTTTACAAAATATATATATCACAATTAATGCCAGCTGCACTAAAGCTATGCTTACAACAGTCTTGAGTTCTTATATCGTTCTAAGTTCCGGAGAATTACTTCTACGTTTCTCAGTACGTTCGTCGTTGTCTCGTACACTGGACTGATGTTGCCAAAGTCTGAGGAAGATCTTCGTGCAAGAGAATAGTGAGATGATAAGAGAAGTATTGGAAAAGTTATAATGAAAATCATGACCTTCTTTCTGCTAATAAACCAGGGACAGAAAATAGGGAATAGGAAATATCGATGGCTGAATTCCCCGCCTAGCTATTAAGGGTCTTTATGACAACTACGTTAATTAACAAAACACTGGGATCAAACCTTAAATGACTGAGGCAAGTGCCTCGGTTTGCCTCATACTGGCTACTGCCCTGATCTGAAACGGCAGGCCGTGAGGTGCTCGACCAAGAAATGAGGTTTTCGACAGTTTTAGCTCTTTATAGCCAGACGATGGCCATAAAAAGGCTCTATTAGCTTCAAAAGGCCATTGTGGGCAAAAACTCCTAGGAGTGATGGGTTAATGAAAAATAAGAAGAAAATAAGCAAAATGAATAAACAACCGAAAAAGTTTATTTTTATTCACAATTGCAAGGTCTGTACCTTGTTTCGTAGCATATTTTGATGACTTCAACGAAACTGATCCCTCCGTCTACGAGGTAATTCAGCTGACTTGTATGCTCACGCTTTCTGTCTCCTTTATTATATAATCCGCTTATAAACCTATCATCTTTTGGCAAAAATCGTTATATAATCGTTGCGATTTGGGCAACGGAAGTTAAGCCCCCATCTTTCGTGCTTTTTGTTTACTTCTACTGCAAATAATTCCCTTCAGCTGGTCTTTATCATCAAGATCTACGAACTGTTTAAAGTGCAGATACTTTTAATTATGTTCCTTTATTTTGCATCGGTTCAGGAGTGGATAATTACACCGGTCATGGAGGAAAAAACTATGGATTAAAAAATTTTGAACTGCATTAAATCTGCCTTATTTTTAACATAAACCATGGGAATTGCTTCCTTTTCAGTTTATAAACCTGTTTCGTACTGAATTTGGTAAATTTGACGATTTTGTAAGGAGAAAGGCTAATTTGACACAAATTCGTAACTTTCTTTAAGATAAAGAAGTTATAAGAGGGTCTCAATGGGGTTAACCGATAGGCGTAAAACGACCAAAAATTTAGTCGATAGCCGTAAAAATTGACAAATTTTAACCGTTAGTCGTAAATAGGGTCAAAAAGAGTTAACCGTAAAAGAAATTGTTCTCCAGAGTTGTTAATTTTAAGGAAGGTTCTAAACCCACTTATGGTTGCGTTATTTATTTCTCGGCTACTTTGACTCCGTACGCACGTTAGGCCAAGCGCTTTTTAGTTGTGACCTAGACCTAGACTCCAATTCCGCCACTCTCTGGGGGAACTAATTTTTTCCATAGCGAAACGCTGGCTTCTTGCTGGGGATTAAAATTTGCGATTTTCAGGAGGTCGTGCCTTCGAAATACCAGTGAAACTAAGAGATGTCACTGTTTGTAAAACACGTTGCCGATAAACAACAATCCCTGCAACAATTCCCTGTTTTTCTAGGACGCTACGGTACACATTGCCGCCTAGTCCCAACTAGTCCCTGTACGGCGTCTTCCCACGCAATCTCAGTCAAGGTATTTCGGTAGCCTGTTCCAGGCGTTCAGATAGTGGGGAGCGGTGCGAAGTAAAAAGGAGCGCGAAAAAATAAAATTGAGGGAGGGGGAGAGGTGAGGGAGGGTTCCCTCACCTCTCTCCCCAGTTCCCCTCTTCTTTTCATCGCTTTCTTTACTTCGCACCGCTCTCCACTATCTGAACGCTTGGAACAGGCTAGCATTTCGGTGGCGTATCTGAGAAAAAAAATCTCTCGGACCACGTGACCCAAAACGCATTAGCTGCGCGGAATAATGAGGCCTATGGACAAGCCAACGGCAAACAGTCGTTCTGTACAGTCCTTCGTTATCATTAAAAACATTGGACACGGGAATTTTTTCATTGGCTGATTTCAAACTAGAGCTGGAAATGGATTATAGAGGATCCGTATGAGACTAACCTTTGTACAGTCGCCCCCTCCCCTACAGACACCCCTTCTTCGATTTTTTTCTAAGGGGAGTGGGCGGCTATGCATAGGCTATCTGAAACGGATAATCTGAACGGATACACTGTCCGTCAAAATTGACGGTTAAAGTCAGGCGGATTGTTTATTCAAAATTAAAACCATTCCAGTTTCAAATTAAGACGTATTACCTATCTGACGCGAATTGTCAAACGTATAACCCATCTCACACGAATAATCCGTCTCTAGTATGAAAACGGCCATTTCTGTTATAAATGAATGTCGCGCCCTGGCCTTGAGTTGGGCGGTGGCGTGTCTGCTTTTGCTTTTTCCCAAAGACTATTTTTAAATTGACTATTGACATTTCTATGCGTAAAATAATATTAGAAATAGAATACTTTATAAAAAGTATGATCTATCAAATGTTAAAATTTTTCAAAAAGAATAGCTTCAGTTTATCCTGAGATGATCTTAAGACCTTTATTTTGCTTTGAAGATACAAAAAATACAGGTTCATTAATATTTAACTCTTTGAAACAAAAGAAATTAATTTTTAACTTTTTTGTTAACCGTAACTGAAAAAAATTAACCGATAGCCGTAAAAGAGCCAAAATTTTAGCCGATAACCGTAAAAGCCACCACCCCATTGAGACCCTCTTATAAGGGCTTCAGTTCAGAGCTCAATGAATTTGATCTTTATTTTATTTTTAGAACTTGACAAAAGGAGTTGTTCCTCAACTTACTGACATGTGCAAAACCTTTTGATTGTGGCCTTCACTGCTTGTCTTAGTTCTTTGATCCTCCAGCAGTACAGGAACGGGTTTAAAGATGAGTTAAGGAAAAGGAGAGTTGCGGTTGAGTCTCGAAGGTGATAAAGGCTACCAGTACGGGGAAAGACATTCAGATGTTCTACTATAAGAAAAGAAAGAAATGGAACATAGCATATAACTAATGCCAACTGCACCAAAGCTATGCTTACAACAGTCCTTTTATATCGTTCTAAGTTCAATGGAATTCCTCCTATGTTCGCTTGTCCTTGTTGGACATTGTCTTGTACTCTGGACTGATAATGCCGAAGTCTAAGGACGATCCTCGTGTAAGAGAACAGCGAGATAATGAGAGAAAGTGTTATTAAAATGATTATTATAATATTGGCAGTATTTCTTCTCAATTTCCAGACCAACACAAGCAAAAAAGTAGTAAACCAAGAACAAGCAATAACTGCACGGACTCGTCTCAGTGTTACTACGTGCCTGTACCTTAATCCCAGCAATAGGGCGAGTAGCCTGTCCACACTAAGGGCAGTTACTGTGAAAAACGATACTCCACAAAAAATAATCCCAAAAGCGCCAGAAGAGTCCACATGTTTGTAAACGTTCAGTTGCTTAAAGACCATTTGTGGCTGCGGAATAAGACCAACGCCAAGATCAGCGATCGCCAGGCATTGAAACATCAGTTTTGTTGGTGGATGAAGGGAAGATACGTTGCGAAGGCCAATCAGGATTAGAATGTTCCCCAGAGATGCTGTGATGGAAAGAAGAATATTCACAGCCGCGATCATAATTCCAGCTATTTCCAGGGAACTCCGTGTCTTACAAAAAGTGGAGTTTCCACCTTCTGTCACATTCGCCATTTCACGAGCTTTTATTGAATTAAATTAGAGGTGCCTTGCTCTGACTGCGCGCTTCCCCAATAAGATCTGCCTTAAAAATGATCTCTACTGCTATACCAGGGTTATTATGTCGTGCAAATGAATGAATATCGTTTGTTTGACATGGCTATCAGTACATTCATCACGTCGAAGAGCGTAGTTTTAGTTGAGCAAACTTTAAATTTCCAGTCAATTTACTAATAAAATCAACATATCATATTCAATTAGGAACAAGCGCAGCTGAAAAGAAAGTTTTTTTCTGAAAACGTGCACGGCAAAAATATCAGAAGTCGTCTTGTTAAATGCATATTTTTTTTAATAGGAACTCTCCAAATTCCATGACCAAGTCTCATTAGACGAAAGGGAAAATATGTTGTTATTTCATTTGGATGTTGACACTTGGTTTTAGGCATATCTAGTAGTAAAATTTACCCGAGGAGAATAGTAACAGGTAGTTATATATATTATTATCTAATTTGTGGAAGGGCGATAAAGATACCCGCATAACTCTTCCATGAAAATTATTTGTCAGAAACCTTAATATTGCTGATAAGTATCTTCAATTTCCCTTTGTTAACTACTTTATTTGACGTACGACCTTGACCAACAACCTTATTTCGGGACAATACAAGCTGAAGAGGAAGTTAATAATTGTTCCTTAAATTACCAAAACCATCTGTTTGATAGATGACCTGAGTGCTAGCATCCTCGGAGACCCAGGGACGGTCAGTCGGGCCGGGAGAAAAGGCGCGACGAAAGTTTTCAAGCACAGGCGGAAAAGCCCCTGGGTACAGACTCTCACCGGACCATTTCCAAACGGTCAAGCGATTGGTGGCTCCCCAGGGGCACCCAACGGCAATTTTCGGGAAAATATCTGTTCGGAAGACGATTTGAGATCTAGAATTTTCGGAGCATTTGTTGTAAAATTTCTTGCTTGCCTATCTCTCCTAGGATTTTCGAACATCTACAAAATGGTATAATTACCCATTTTTAACGGATTTTGACAGTAAAAAAAGGCCACCTAGAATTTTCGAGAGCCTTTTCCTGGCTAAAATTTTCGAGAAGGTAAATTTTTTTCCCTATAATTTTCGGATCACTAGACTTTCAGCTAGGAAATCCGAACAGATGAAAAGTTTTTAGGGGATAAAAATATGCCTATATCTACCGTTTGAATACTAAAATACGTTCAACAATGCTATGTTAAGTGGTTTTCAACTATATCCTCGATGGGTGCCCCTGGCTCCTGATTAGGCACAAAAAAATATTCTTTGTATTATTGTGCCCAATCGGTGAACAGTTTCTCCTAAGTTCATTGGCCCTAGGGGACCTCCAGCTTGGTGACCTTATAATCAACGGACAAATTTTACCATCAATAACTGGCCGATGAAATTTGTTGAAATGAGCGTTTTGGGCAATCTACGAATGACAATCAACAAAGGATATTCGGGTGTATTCGAGCTGAATATTTCAGTATACTTCACGTGAAGTGTGCGCCTTGAATACCTCAGTATTCTAGAGAGTCATGATCACGTATTCTAGGCTCGAACATCTCCGAATATTTTCATTTTCGCGCAGTGCACACCTACGAATATGTCCACTGGGAATGTCGTGATTCGATCGCCCAGTTATGTTTAATTTATACGTTTCTTTGAGAGCTCCATGTACGCGATGCGATTCATAAGTGAAAAAAAAAAAATCGCATGATAGCGTACTTATTTGCGAACTAAAGCGCATTAAGCATAGCGCAAAGAACAAAGCTAGTCTTCCAATCTGGAAGCCCTCATTTCAATTCCCACCCAGACCGTCAGATGGATTTTTTGTTTTCAGTATCAGGGATGAGCAGCCTAGTCACTAGGCTTCCTCTCTGTTGCCGCGTTGTCGGCGCGAAGTTTCTGTGACGTCACAGATCACGGTAGAGTCCAGGATTAACCGAGCCAAGAACTAGGGACTGGGCTGAGAAATCACTCTATGGTCCCAAATTAAATTAGTTAAATAACCAACTGGGTTGCCTCTGACCAGGTGGCTCGGATCTACAAGCCTTTATGCTATGCAAACTGCCGAGGATACCGGAATTGTCAACATTATTTATTGATTCTGATTCTAATAGTCCAGTTTCGAATTAAAAATTACCGCTGAATATAAACATTAACGACACATTCACACAGGGTTAGCCTCGACCTAAAGTAAAATATTCAGAAATTCTGGCAAGTAAGTGTTTGAAATTTGAATATACACAATAGACAGAGTAATAAACAGGTTTTTTCCTCGTTGGAATTTGTGAATATATTACTTCAGATTGAGGATAAGGCTGTAAAAAATGTGTCTTCACTTCTTTAATTCAGCGGTCACAGCGAACTCGAAAATGGACTATTCTGGTAATCAATTCAAGTCGACTGAGTGAAATGTTTGTCTATATCTCGTTTACAACTAAGTTCTAATATTTATTACATCTGGCTCTTTCAAAGCCTTGTCAGCTATTCAGAAGAGATGAATAGTTCAACAATTAAGATTATCACCACAGCAACAAAATTAAATTTACATTATAGTGAAGCAGACGATTATTGCCTCCTTTTCCCCTAATATCGCGGTATATAGTAAAGCAGTATGTGTTACAAATACAGCAACATAATTCTTTCTCAAAATTATTCTGACTCTTCTTTTATATTCATATAAATCATGTGCTTTAAATTTTCATCTCTTTACAACCAAACCTGGAAATATAAACTGTTGCAGTAAAAGGTTCTTTCCTAAATATATCAAATCCTGGGTGTTTGGAGGAGTTTAAGAAATTTCCAGTCGCGGGATATTCTCTGCATTGAAACTTAACTAAGGCACGAGAAAACCCGTTTGATTATTGCCTTCACTACTTGTCTTAGTTCTTTCATCCTCCAAAAGTACAAAAATGGGTTTAGAGACGAGTTTAAGTAAAAAATAGTGGTGGCAGCTTCTCGAATGATGATCAGTGTAGTGCTATGGCTATTGTCATGATCACTTGGTCGTATGGTTATAAGAGAAATTATTGAAGGTACATAGCATACAAACAAGGCAACTTGTATCATCGCTAGACTAACGACTGTCTTTTTGTATAGTGCTATGTTAAGTGGAATTCTTCCTCCGTTCGGTTGTCGATCATGAGCATTCCCTTGTACACTAAGCTGATGTTTTCTTAGTCTAAGGAATATCTTTGAGTAGGAAACCACTGAAATTATTAAGGAAAGAACTATCACAGTGGTAATTGTAGTCAGGAATAGGTGGTAACTGCCATAAAACATCATAATAGTACACGAAACAGCAATGAACCAAAACAAGCAAATAATTGCACGGATTCGATATAGTGTTACAGCTCTTCTATATCTTAGCCCCAGAAACAGGGCAAGAAGTCTGTCCACACTTAACGCGGTTGACGTCGACATCGACACTCCACAAAAAATAATGGATGAAGACCAGTTGGCGATATAAGGTACATTCCAAGTCATCTTTTCATAGAAGTAGCATTTCAGGAATAAGAGGCTAAAAAGTGGCTGGGAAATGAGACCAACACCAAGATCGGAGACCGCCAGGCATTGGAACAACAGTTTTGTCGGCGGATGAAGAGAAGTTGCGGATACCTTGCGAAGGGCAATCAAAATAAGAAAATTGCCCAGAGATGCCGTGATGGATAGAAGAATATTTATGAGGAAAAATGGAAGCATCCATGACGCTGAAAGCGAGAAGCTGCCGTCTTCAGTTAAATTCCCCATTTATTTGGTACAACGGCCGGTCAACAAAGCACAGGCTAAGAAGGTCTCCTCTGTAACTTTTCTTATTCCAGTGCTAAAAAAATGGCCTTGCATCACATCACCAATGAAAACCTTTATCCACTGAATAGATGTAATTGTAGATCAATGCACTTTACGATGACGTATTACAAAAAATTCAGCCCTTAGTTAATAAAGAACAATTAGTGGAGAGTCACGAACACTAAATGATAACGATCTTTTTTTATTGAAAGTGATCTTTATATAATGTCAGAATTCAAAATATTCCGAGATTGTTTCTGACATCACTTCATCACGTCCGACGTCCGAGCCCGTAATTTTCCGTCACCTGATGTCAATTAACAAACGGTCTTGGATTAAAGTTCATTTTCGGATCAATATACAAGCTAAAAGATAAGTTATTACTGCAAATTATTCTGAAAATGTACATCAGGGAGTCTTGATAAATTAAAAGCTTGCTAACAATGAAAATTTCTCAGTCTTACAAAGAAAGCTTACGGTTTTATTAAAAGTTTAGTGTCTTCCTTGTCGGTAAGGACAGTTAAACATGACAATTTTGTTTGATAAGTAAAAGTAAAAAACATAGACTGCTACGCTGACTGGTGAAGTGATGGCGCTTATCTGTCATTTGTTGATTCTTTCCTTGTTAGGTTTTAATCTGGTTGACTCAGTTGAGAAAATACCATTTTTTCTTTTTAAACAAATGTGATTCATTTGATATAATCCCTACTAGTATGATTATCGTACAGCATCATAATAATAGGAGTGATCTTTACTAAGTTTTGATATGTCCCAGGGCATGTATATACCAGCTGTAATACATTTAAGAACGACAGACTTTTTTGAGGAAAAGTTAAACATGAAAGCCTTGGAGTGATTTTCGATGTTCCTTTCCAGGGGGCTATACGTATACATGTTATTGTCTCCTCCTGGGTCAATATTCGAGACTAGCTGGCTGGCGGTAGACATCAAACCTCTCAGTTTGAGGCAAAATAGATTTTCCTGTCGTCTTTTTATTCTCTTTTTTGTGCGCGCAAAATTTAATCACATGCTTTTATGGTGAATTATATATCCAACGCCACTAGAAAGTTCTTCACCAATTTCTACAATTAGCGGGCGACTAAGTCAAAAGTAAGTGACAGATATCGCAGGAAATGTCATCTTAATCTGAAAACTTAATCACAACTAATCACCATACGCACGACCGTGCGTAAAAAAGATTTTTATCATGATGGCTTAATATGAACTGAGTAGGGGCGAGCATCGCAGTCGTTCGCTATCTTATAAAACTTGCTAAAGACGCTCATTAGATTTCTATTTGCAGCGGTCTTGGAAGGGAGAGTGAGAAATTGTGATTTACAATGAATAAATTATGCTTTCTATATAGCCAACACAGGGAGGGGGCAAGGGGGGAGCGTTTATTATTATGGCATCTCAGCTTTGATGCCCTTCTTCCTCTATATGGCGTCTCTTTCAAATGATTTCCCTTCATTTTTACTCCTCATCCCACCCTTTCCTACGCAATTCCGTATCTTTTATCTCAAAGAATCCGCCAGATTCCCCATATTCAAAAGAAGAGCGGCTAAGACCATTGCGTGAAAAGAGCAATTTCACAAGCACTATTGCGAGCATCTTATTTTTTATTTATTAATAATAACAATAATTACTATAATCATAACTATAACAAAATTCTCAAATCTGATTGGCTATCAACTGTCCTGATTTCAGCCTTATGAGAACAGCTTAATAGGACAGTACGCGTCATGCCTAAGTAATTTGTTAACGTTATGATTAATTGGTGACTGAACTTCGTGTCGTCCAATTCATGTTTTAATTTTAGGCAAAACAGGCCAGGAAAATTTTGTTTTTACTATATTCTAAATAGAAAAATACGCCTTTCTAGATCGTAAAATCAAGAAATAATAAAAAAAAAACATCGAAAAATTCTGACTTTTCCAAAGTAGGTAGTGCATGGTTTTCGACAAAAATTGGCCAACTATCCATATTTTTTTAGCCAAAGTAGGACAGGACAAACAGACACAAACCCCTTTGGAAAAATGCCAATTTTTGGACTTTTTTAACTCCGCGTTTTAATAGTCTAGAAAGGCTTTATTACTATCTAGAATATCGCCAAACATTTTTTTCTTGCCTACTTTTCCTACAAGAGAAACATGGAAAAATTTTAATTGTTGGACCAAAACTTTGCACTAACCCTCTCAAAATCATTCTGACTTTTCTTTTATATTTATGTGTAGTTGTTGATTCATCGTGACGTCACTGTTTTCATTTGTGCTGATTAGCATACGAGATATCCCATAGGAGCTGTTGCCGTATGTACACCAATTTGGTGCAAAAACAAAAAAATAGCTGGTTAATTTATGCAGTTTGTGCATGTTTCAGCTCTTTACTATCAGTAACAAAGACAATAGCAGCAATAGGACAATTACATGATGACATCATTTTACTACAACTACCAGAATCCTTCAGTTTGCTGTTTTCTTTTGCAAATTAAGGCTATTGTTCTTTAAACCTCAGTGGAATTGACAAATTTAAATAAGAAAGTAAAGACGAAATGAATTCTGTTAGTTGTAGTCAAACATCGTCATCATGAAAATGGCCTATTAAAAACTGCAGAAATACTGGGTGGCAAAACGTTAATGAGCTCATACATTCTTATTAAATTTGGGGGGTTTTGAGAGAGAAATTCCCCGAAACTATTTGGTATGATATCGAGGCTCAAATTTTCAGAAGTAACTGAAATTGTTATCCCCTTTCAATATTCAGAAATTTCTTTTTTTTAACTTTATCAGATTATGATAAGCCTAATTCTAATGACACAAATATGTAAAAAAGGATTCGCCTAATCACATGCATCAAAATTTATCTCTTTACAAGCATACTTGCGAATACACTGTAAACTGTTACAGTAAGAGGTTCTAAAATATATCAAATCCTAAGTGTTTGGAGAAGTTTACGAAATTCCCAGTCGGGATGTTCTCTGCATTGAAACTTAACTAAGGCACGAGAAAACCCGTTTGATTATCGCCTTCACTACTTGTCTTACTTCTTTCATCCTCCAAAAGTACAAAAATGGGTTTAGAGACGAGTTTAAGTAAAAAATAGTGGTGGCAGCCTCTCGAACGATGATCTGTGTATTGCTAAGACTATTGTCATGATCACTTGGTCGTATGGTTATAAGAGAAATTATAAACGGAACATAACATACAAACAAGGCAACCTGTACCAAAGCTATACTAACGACCGTCTTTTTGTATAGTGCTATGTTCAGTGGAATTCTTCCTCCGTTCGGTTGTCGATCATGAGCATTCCCTTGTACACTAAGCTGATGTTTTCTTAGTCTAAGGAATATCTTTGAGTAGGAAACCACTGAAATAATTAAGGAAAGAACTATCACAGTGGTAATTGTAGTCAGGAATAGGTGGTAACTGCAAAATAATATCACAACACACGAAACAGCAATGAACCAAAACAAGCAAATAATTGCACGGATTCGACATAGTGTTACAACTCTTCTATATCTTAGCCCCAGAAAAAGGGCAAGAAGTCTGTCCACACTTAAGGCGGTTGATGTCAATATCGACACTCCACAAAAAACAACGGATGAAGTCCAGTTGGCGATGTAAAGTACATGGAGATCCAAAGTTATCTTGTCATAGAAATAGTATTTCATGAATATGAGGCAAAAGAGTGGCTGGGATATAAGACCAACACCAAGATCGGAGACCGCCAGGCATTGGAACATCAGTTTTGTCGGCGGATGGAGAGAAGTTACCTTACGAAGGGCAATCAGAATGAGGAAATTGCCAAGGGATGCGGTGATGGGTAGAAGAATATTTATGAGGAAAAATGGAAGCATCCATGTCGCTGAAAAAAAGGAGTTTCTGTCTTCAGTTAAATTCCCCATTTATTTGGTGTAACAGGACGTCAACAAAGCACAGGCCAAGAAAGTCTGCTCTGTAACTTTTCTTATTCCAGTGCTAAAAAATGGAAAAATGGCCTTGCATCACAAAACCGATGAAAACCTTTAGAGACTGAATAGATGCAATTATAAATCAATGCACTTAACGATGACGTATGACAAAAAACTCAGCCCTTAGTTAATAAAGAACAATGTGGAGAGTCAGGAACTGAAAATGATAACGACTTTTTTTTATTGAAAGTGATCTTTATATGATCTCAGAATTCTAAAGATTCCGAGATTGTTTCTGACATCACTTCATCACGTCCGACGTCCGAGCCCGTAATTTTCCGTCACCTGACGTCAATTGCATTTTCAATTAACAAACGGCCTTGAATTAAAGTTCATTTTCGGATCAATAGGTAAGTTATTACTGCAAATTATTCTGAAAATATACATCAGGGAGTCTTGATAAGTTAAACGCTTGGTAACAATTAAAATTTCTCAGTCTTACAAAGAAAGGTTACGGTTTTATTAAAATTTTAGTGTCTTCGTTGTCGTTAAGGAAAGTTAAACATGACAGTTTTGTTTGATAAGGTAGAAGTAAAAAACATGGACGCCGAAGCTGACTGGTGAAGTGGTAGCGCTTAATTGTCATTTGTTGATTCTTTTCACGTTAGGTTTTAATCTAATTGACTCAGCTGAGAAAATACCATTTTGTTTTTTTAAACAAATGTGATTCATTTGATATAACGACCTACTAGTATGATTATCGTAAAGCATATAATATTGGGAGTGATCTATACTATGTTTTGATATGTCCCAGGGCATGTATATAACAGACGCAAGACTTTTTTTTGGGAAAAGTTAAACATGAAAGCCTTGGAGTGATTTTCGATGTTCTGTTCCAGAGTGCTGTACGTGTTATTGTCTACACCTGGGTCAATATTCGAGACTAGCTGGCTGGCGGTAGACATCAAACTTCTCAGTTTGAGGCGAAATAGAATTTCCGGTCGTCTTTTTTAATTTCTCTCTTTTGTGTGCGCCAAACTTTATCACATGCTTAATGGTGAATTATATATCCAACGCCACTAGAAAGTTCTTCACAATTTCTACAATTAGCTGGTGACTAAGTCGAAAGTAAGTGACGAAATCGCAGGGAATGTCCTCTTATTTTCTGAAAACTTAATCACTATACGCAAGACCGTGGGTAAAAAAGATTTTTATCATGATGGCTTAATATGAACTAGTAGTGGCGAGCATCGCAGTCGTCCGCTTTATTATAAAACTTGCTTAAGGCGCGCATTAGATTTCTATTTGCAGCGGTCTTAGAGAGGAGAGTGAGAAATTGGGATTCATATTGAATAGATTATGATTTCTATATAGCGAATACGGGGAGGGGGTTGGGGGGGGGGTATTATTATTGCATCTCAGCAGTGATTCCCTTCCTCTATATGGCGCCTCTTTCAGATGATTTCCCTTCATTTTCACTCCTCATCCCACCCCTCCCTACTCAAGTCCGTATCTTTTATCTCAAAGAGTCCGCCAGGTTCCCCATATTAGAAAGGAGAGCAGCTAAGATCATTGTGTGAAGAGAGCAATTTCACCAGCACTATTGCGCGCATCTTATTTTTTATTTATTAATAATAACAATAATTAGTATTAATATTGTACCTTCTCTCCAATGCAAGTCATATACGCAGAAAGAGAAGAGACAAATATCCAGAACTGATCCGTAATTTGTCATTTAGTTATAAAAAAAAAACCGGGAAAGACATAGATTGCGATTGAAAGAGTTGAAAACTCACTTCCCCTGCACATTTGTTTTTTTTTTTTTCCAGTACCAAAAAAAGGTTAGTCACAATCTCAACACTGTGAAATTACAAAGCAATTAAAACCCTTTATTGGTCTATTATTTGATATCTATTGCTATAAAGCTGGATTTTTCTTTCAAACTAAGCGCTCTCTCGTTGTTTTTTTTTTTTGTCTTTTTCGGGTCACATGACATCTAAAGAACTGCTTCCCACCGAAAGTTTCAGAGCGAGGAACGCTGCAAAATCTGTGGCGTTAATCTTCTCCGGAAACATGCAAGTTTGCTTTTTCCCTCGAGAACAATTACGAAGTGTTCAGAATTCACCCCGCTATGACTCCATCTTTTACCTAAAGTATCTTTACAACAACACTACAGCATTTGCTTGCTAAGTCTCGTCCCCAGGGTCCTTCTTCTTCCCGTCCCAAAAAGCGCGCAGGAGATGGGAAACGGACAGGAAGAAGAGAGAGAGAAAAATTAAGGGTAATGTTCTCTCAATCTTTCATGATTGACATCATAATTTTGTATTAGATATCACTTCAACTTCTCCTTCATTTTTTTAGCGATCAGGGCCAAGTTGTTCGAAGGCCGGTTAGCGCTAACCCAGGGTTAAATTTTAACCCGGGTCTCTTTTTCTTTTCATCAAAATCATTTTCCCGGAAAAATTTCCCTATTGTATTTAGAGTATTTAATCATCAAGTTGTAGGCAAAAAGAATTAAACTGAATTTGCTTTTTAAGCTTTCATGTCTGAATTCAAATTTTGTACTAACCCTCGGTTATGTTAACCCGGCTTTGAACAACCCGGCCCAGTTGCATTTGATACTCGGATTATCAATTGATCAAATTATCAAAAGTCTGAGTTCATTAGCTGATTACCATTCCGACACCGTATGCATTTCCACTGCAAGGACTCTTTTTCTTCAGAGTCAACTGTCACACTTTAACTTTTCCTCGTCTGGGTATACGTAAACAGTGCAGGGCACTTTTCAAAACTTGCTCCCCATTGGCACCAGGGCCTCCCAGCAGCCCAAAACAAGACCCTGGCTTATTGTTACGTGGTGTCATGGCGTCTGTACTTATCACGTGACATATCAAGGGCGTTGTCGCAAATGTTTTGATGGATCGAAAGAAATAGTGGTAAGTATGCCATGTAATCCAAGAACGAAATCTAGAATATGAAAAAAGGGGGGAAAGGAGAATATTTATGACAATGCTTTAATTAGCTCCATTTTACTCCGAATGTTACGTTATGTCGTACTGAATGCGTCTTGGGATTAGAGCGGTTTTCATTTGAGTGTCGAAAAGTAATTGGTTTTGCACTTTCTACACGATGCGATTGGCTTAAAAGATTCGCGCCACCTTTTCATCCAATCAGAAGTAAAACCAAGGCCAATTGTGACGTGCTTTGCGTCAGCCACATGTAATTACTTCGAGTTTTGATTGGTTCAATGTATTGTCTGTGTCCTATGTGATTGGCCAGAGTAATTACTTTGGTTTTGGTTTTACGACACTCAAACGAAAACCACTCTACCAGTCCCTGATTGTAATCACTAGAGAGCTTTAACAACAACGACGGGGACAGTAACAGCAACGAGAACGTCAAAAACTCAATGGGTTTAATAAGCAAAACAACAATTTTGCAGCACGTTTTTTTGGTAAATGCTGTCCCCACACGAATACGACGTGAAAGTTTCCTTATGAGGCGCTTTATGGACGACGTAACCACGTCTCTGCGTATTTTCCTTTCTCTTCCTTTTTCGCGTCATCGACATGGTGTAAGAATCGCCCAACGCCACCAACAGGGAAGCTCACTGTGATCACAACAAATTGACATGTCTTTAAATGTACTAGACAACCGTACAAGAAGAGTATTTGAACAATTGTCCTTGAATCATTATCGTTCTTTTTTTAAGCACTTACCTCCCACGCCTGAGTAGACTGCAGTATGTGACCAATCACGTGATTTTCTTGCTGTTGGTTGAGCCCGCCGGCCTTAAGCTCGATTCTTAGCTGATCAGCAGTGATGAAATTCACCGAATAGTCCCCAGTCACGAAGAACATTTTCTGGAAAGAGATGTTCAGAACAAAGTCTCATGAATAATAAAACTCGAAATCACAGAACTGTTTGAATTTATGGAGTCAAGTCACATGTTAGGTGTAGGCCAAACTTTGAGCTCTTCATGAGACGAACCAAATTCGATGGGTTAAGTTCATGAACAGTTCGACGTCTGGGTCAGTTAAGTTCTTTTGAAAGAGTTTGGATCGTCCAACACGTTCTATCCGTCTGCTTCACAAGCGACGAACTAAACTAATGAATTTGTATGATAATGTATATTTAGACTCGTTCGGGAGAAAATTTATTAAAATTGCTCTTTGGTCAGATTCAGTTAATTGGTTCGACGAGTCCTATGTGGTTCCTGCCTAGTTCCTTAGGCTCAAAATTTTGGCTGCTTGTTCAGTGTGTTTTGGATTGGTCATATGATGCTAGCAAGTTCCAGCTACGTCACCAGAATGATTTGAACGGGAAAACGTGGGGAAGATCACATAGAAACGAGACTAAATGTAAAAGAAAAACCACAGTTTTACCCTAAACATGTCCAACTTGCATTCCAGTTCATAGAGGTCGATTTCCTCTACCAGCTGCCTGACAAACTCACTGAAACAAGAAAAATTTAAGACAAACCTTTCATTTTGTAGGCATAGTAGGCAGGCAAATAAATGCACAGCAAAGCTATAGATAGAAAGATAACTTACTCAAGAGTCATAACTTTCTCACATAACGCAGTGGTCACCGAAAACATCTTAAATGTTATTCTTGATCCTGGGAAAAGGTCCAATACCTGGTATAGAGAGAAACGTATGCTGCAGTAAAGTACTTTCAGGTTAGTAATAAGAAATTTCTGAGAAATTTCTGCAATTTGATTGGCTTAGAGCAGTGGTATTTCAGCTTAATTTGAAATACCTACATGTGAAAATTACAAAACTATTGCGGGTACTAGTATAAACAAATAATAGCATACTTTGTACGTGATGTTAGGCATAAAAACCGCTCGTGATATTTCAAAATTGTCTCAAAAAACACTCGCATAACGGCTCGTGAAATTACGTATAACAATTTCGAAATATCACTCTTGGTAGTTATGCCTAATAACATTACAAATCATGCTATTACCTATACTTCTTCTTCTTCTTCTTCTTCTTCTTCTTCTTCTTCTTCTTCCTATTACTATTATTTTGTACAGCAGTCAAAAGAAATTAAGAACTGAAAGCACAGCTTCAAATCTTAACGAACACCAACGACTGAAAGCACTTTTTGCCTACATTTCATCAGAAAATGTTCTGTTAGTTTGTCACGATAATTCACCCATGAGATTCACCGAAAATCCGATTCATTACAGCGCTGTTTTATAAACAACTAGATCAAACCACTTAGGCAGTGTCCACACGACACTGGACGAATTTTTGACTGGTTGAAAATTCGTGCGTTTAGGAGTTCTGTTCACACGGAATCACCTTAACCGTACGAAAATTTAGACGCCTAGCCGCTTAAAATTCCGTTTGAACAGAGCCAAAACATTGAACGGTCCCGAGTGAACGAACTGTCTGGTCGAAAAGTCGCCCGGCTCCATATCAACGTAGCTTCGTTTAGCATAATATATTTTTAGATGTCTTTAACATTTTGCAACACGCTGATCAAGACGCGTCGAGTAGATTGGGTGCGAAAGTTCGTTAGCAATGCTCGTGATGCATTTAAATGCGGCGGTTCTCTGAAGAAATCAGCCAGGAACGTAGCGTCCATATACTCACATACGCCGGTGCGTTCAGCCGAAATCTGGATTTTGTTTTCCCCTGAAAACATTTTTATCATCAAATTGGGATGACTGATAAATTTTTCGCATTTTATAAGTGTCTCTTGTTTTAGTATTTCCTTTATCCTTTTATTATTCCATAACGCTAGAGATGGGTAAAATAAACAACTGACGTACTTACTGAAAAATATCCCGCGGAAAACGCAGGAAATGGCATTTTCGAGACCCTAAACTTAAACATTTCCCGGGAGGAGCATGCCTCCCAATAGCCTGCGACCGTGGACGTATTTCCGGTCGTCGAAGAGAAGCGACCACCGTTAATACGTCTGCGGTTCGCAGGCTAGCCTCCCAAGCCCACTAGTTTAGAGCGCATCTACATTAGCTATTTTTCCGTGCGTACACTTTAATTCATAATCTCACACTGCGCCCCTGTTAGTGATCATCCTTCATAACCTTTCCTGAGTTCACGAGTTCCTCAGTCCTAGCCAGTTCTTTTCCCTCCATCAATTACTGCTTTCGTGTTTAACTTAACTTAACAGAAGAAAGGGTTCGGAAATTATTTTTGCGAAATCAATTAGCACCCCGTTATTACTTTCTTGCCACTTGCAAGACGGTCCACGGTTATTATTGTTTTAAGCCTTCCGCTGTTTCGAATGCAAATATTGATTCTCACCTGCCTATTTTAGCCGTGACATGGTGGGCTTAAACAATAAAAAACACCTTGGTAACTTCAATTTCACACAAAGACTGCAGCCAACTTTGGACAAAACAAATTAAGAGCTCGAGGTTGTGACAAATTCAAGCAGACTTACGTACATTCAACATGTTTTTGATGTCAAATAATTTCAAATTTGGCTGAACGAAAACTTGAAGGACGTATTTTTGGAAAAATTATCTGCATCCGACTCTTTTGTTTTGTTAAAAAATAACACATTTCCACAAGAATAGGGACTTTTATTTAACCCTATTGTTCTCTTCTTTAGAAGAGCTCAAGCAATTTACAAAAGCTATAATTAATATTTTAGGAACAACGAACAGTACAGCCTCTTCATTGTGACGAACTTTTGTGTCGTTGTTTTCGACGAAAACACCATCAAAAGTCGGTTACAAAGGTTGCCTTAAAAAAAAGATAAAATCGATTACTTCAATGAGTCCGAGATTAACAACGAATTAAAGTCAAAGAGCTTAATTCAGAAGCAGAAAAAACAGAAGCCAACGACAAAATTCACGCAAAGAATACATTGCATGCATATTTGAAGAAGTTGACATGGCGTTATTTTTGTGTTGGGATTGATTCAGGAGTATGGAATTTCCAGGCAAGAAAATGGGTTGTACTAAAGTTGATGACCCGTATTTTGGGAGAAGAAAACCTTCAGAAATTGTAAAGCGAATTAATCGGAAAATATCGCTTTTGGAAAGCCAGAAAGAGCCGCGTGAGATAAACTGTGGCCAATGTTCAGGTACCTTATCAGCCACAAATTTTATAAGTAACGATCGCAGCAATTCTTCTAAGCAGGGGATGAAAAAGGATGATCCAAAATCTCCCTCAAACGAGAACTTGATGAACAACGCTATGTTACGTCAAAAACAGAGAGCTGCTACGGCGCCGGGAACATTAACAACGACAAGCATATCAAACGATAAATGGCCCACTAAAGACGAATTTGTGAGTTTATTGTTCCGCATGATCTGAACGCTTCGACGTTGTGATTAAAAAAATAATCCGTTTCGAATATTTATTATATACATTAAATTCAAGGGAAAAAAAGAGGAAAATTCTCAAGCAGATTAGATTTAGGGCCTGTTTACATGGAGTGGGGGACCCCGGTCTAGTGGGGTTGGTTTCTTTTGTTTTCACGCTCTGGAGGACACAAAACAAAAAAAAACCTACGCCACTAGACCGGGGTCCCCCACTCCATGTAAACAGGGTCTTAAAAACGCAGGCAGCATTTTGTCGCAAAAATCAAAATTAATTTTACGGAAAAGTAAAATTACTTTTTGAAGTTTTCGTCAAAAAACAGTAGTGCATAGTTGGTGGGAAAATTAAAGAGCTTATTTTGCGATTATATCCCAGTAATCCGCGCTTGAAATGAAGTGTATTCATGCTTTCATAATTAAATGTCAAAGACGAAGTGAAAATAAACAGCCTTACGCACATATTTATAAATTTAAATTCGGTGTTCAATCTACTTGCTAATAAGCAGTCTTCGCCTTTTATTATTTATTTATTTTTTTTCTTCACGGGTCGATCATCATACAGCCTGTACAGCTCCCCTGATAATGTTACCCCGAAAATTTAAAAAGGGCTGAAAATATGACTACTGTAGTATTGATTTATTAATGAAATAATGAACCCATGTTCAGATTTTTTCGATCGAGATTATTAGTATGCAGCAACGCATTTTTGGCGAGTATCCTTAATAGTATGGAGGAAGTCAAAAATTAGTGTGCAGGAAGTCCAACGAAGTCCGAAAAGGGGCTTATCTTTGGTGAAGCATAACTACTCATTTAACCCTATTGTTCTCTTCTTTAGAAGAACTCAAGCATTTACAAAAACTATAATTGATATTTTAGGAACAACGAACAGTACAGCCTCTTCATTGTGACGAACTTTTGTGTCGTTGTTTTCGACGAAAACACGATTTAAAATCGGTTACAAAGGTTGCCTTAAAAAGAAGATAAAAGCGATTACTTCAAAGAGTCCGAGATTAACAACGAATTAAAGTCAAAGAGCTTAATTCAGAAGCAGAAAAAACGGGAGCCAACGACAAAATTTACGCAAGCAATACATTGCAAACATATTTGAAGAAGTTGACATGGCGTTATTTTTGTGTTGGGATTGATTCAGGAGTATGGAATTTCCAGGCAAGAAAATGGGTTGTACTAAAGTTGATGACCCGTATTTTGGGAGAAGAAAACCTTCAGAAATTGTAAAGCGAATTAATCGGAGAATATCGCTTTTGGAAAGCCAGAAAGAGCTGCGTGAGATAAACTGTGGCCAATGTTCAGGTACCTTATCAGCCACAAATTTTATAAGTAACGATCGCAGCAATATCTTCTAAGCAGGGGATGAAAAAGGATGATCCAAAATCTCGCTCAAACGAGAACTTGATGAACGACGCTATGTTACTTCAAAGACAGAGAGCTGCGACAGCGCCAGGAACATTAACAACGACAAGCATATCAAAAGATAAATGGCCCACTAAAGACGAATTTGAGAGTTTATTGTTCCGCATGATCTGAACGCTTCGACGTTGTGATTAAAAAAATAATCCGTTTCGAATATTTATTATATTTTACATTAAATTCAAAGGGAAAAAAAGAGGAAATTTCTCAAGCAGATTAGATTTAAAAAGGGAGGCAGCATTTTGTCCCAAAAATCAAAATTAATTTTACAGAAAAACAAAATTACTTTTTGAAGTTTTCATCAAAAAACAGTAGTGCATAGTTGGTGGGAAAATTAAAGAGCTTATTTTGCGATTATACCCCAGTAATCCGCGCTTGAACTGAAGTGTATTCATGATTTCATAATTAAATGTCAAAGGCGAAGTAAAAATAAACAGCCTTACGCACATATTTATAAATTTAAATTCGGTGTTCAATCTACTTGCTAATAAGCGGCCTTCGCCTTTTATTATTTATTTATTTTTTTTCTTCACGGGTCGATCATCATACAGCCTGTACAGTTCCCCTGATAATGTTACCCCGAAAATTTAAAAAGGGCTGAAAATATGACTAGTATTGATTAATGAAATAATGAACCCATGTTCAGATTTTTTCGATCGAGATCTGTTCAATCATATTTTGCTCATAAAAAATCCGTTTGTTTTAAAAGACTCATAAAAAATTCAACAAAGCCATTTGCTGTACCGTACATTAAAACAGGCTTTGGAAAAAGAAGATCACTCTTTTACCGGAATGAGAAAATAAAATCATTTTTTTTCTCTACATAGAGTTTAAAACATGTAGTTTGAATTTAATTTTTCCGCGCTTATCTTAATAATAAATAAGAAACTTAATTCAAAATCAGCATTTACAGGTGAATTTATATAGCAGAAATACTGGCATTTTAATAACCTTCCTACCACCTTAAGCTACGTGAAAACGGACAACAAAAACAGGCAACATTGCTGCAAAACGAGTTGAGAAGCGAAATTGCGCGTTTTTACCGCCCACAAACCAAACCTTTCTTGAAACAAATCAGGTTGTTGTAAGTTGCGTGAAAACTGACTTTAACTGAAATTACGCGGGATCGAGTCAAGTCATACGCTGGAGTCTGGACGTCACTTATTGCAAAACAAGTTTTCCTTGGGCCGGCAAAACGAGAAACATGTACAGATTTTGCTGCAACAGTTAGAACTACTCTCTACATTCTGCAAAAACTTTTCGCAACCTGCAACAAACTGATTTGTTGTAAGACAGTTTTGAGATCGTGTGCGCTAAAACGCGCGACATAGCTTTTCAACACGTTTTGCCGCAATGCTGCCGAAAACAACATGAACTTTTTCGACGCCCGTTTTACCTTGCCTTTAGTGTCAACCGTGCTTTCTTGTTTGTTATTCCGTTTATATAAAAGTAACGTCTAATAAAAGCACACCTACATCTGCGATAACTGTTTTCTCAGCCACCAGATGTCTTACCTGTAAAACGAACATGAGCTGTTTCCTAGACATTCCTGCAACGCTTGGTACCCCCTCCAAGGCTAGCAGCATTTGCTGTGCAAATAATAAAAATAGTTTAACCTCGAAAGGTTTTCAAAGCATGTATATCCCTAAGGAACACAGACCCGAGGTACGAGGAAGGCCGATCTTTCTCTACACCTTCCGATTCCAGTTCTTTCCGTTTTAGTTTCTAAACCGTTTTGTTTTGATTTTTTAACTTACGAATTCCTGTAAACGTAGCAACCTTCAACTTTACAAAGCGTTTCCTTTCCGTTTTCTCTTTGATCGCAACGCTTTGGGGAGAAAATCGTCTTTATGCTTTATTTTGAAACCAAAGTTTTTCTCCAGATTTATGTTACCTTCAGTAACTGCAGTGATTGTTACAAACAACAAGCATTACCTCATATGAAATAAGCCCATCCTCATCTTCATCTTCAAGTGTAAACGCCCGGCCGTACATTTCCAGATGACTCCGGTTTACGAGTCGATACTGCGCTATATAATCAATCGTGGAGTCTGCAAAACAAGCAATGATTTATCAGGAGTTTTTTTCTTTTTTTTGGTTCATATTAGGAAGGGTATGTCAAAACAAGCTACAATGGAACGGTCGCTTATAAACATTAAGGACAGTTTTTTATTTCATCGGTTTTTAAATCAAAAGAAAATTATAAAATTAATTATAAATGATCAAAGGACAATTTTTTTTCATTGTATCGGTTCATCAATCAAATGAAATACCTTTACGCGTTTTTATGTCGGCTTGTCCAATCACGTCACTGATGGCGTCCCTATAGAAAACAGAAACGCTTTACTATGACAAAAGACGGATCGAAACGCAAGACGCTCATTTAATTTAAGAGTCTTCGAAGCCAACAAAATCATGGCTTAACTTACAGACGACCAATAACAACGCGAGTTAATTGACCTATCAGGTCGATAACTAGAGTTGACGAGATACAACTCACTTTGATTATGAACATGACTACCCCACAGATTGTGCGAACGTCAAACACTGCAGTCCTATTCTGGATTACACTCATAGGGACGATCATATTCCACTTATTTATTACATGACTCCTGGGTTCAAATCATTCACAGAAAGGATTAATGTGATGTAAGAGAGAGATCAAGGTAAGGCGGTTGAAATAGTTGCTACCACGCGAGACTTGATTACAATTTGGTCAGTTCTCGTTCGTGCCTCTTCACAGAAGGGTATCGGATAGGTCGTTGGAATCTTGATATAAAGCAATTATGAGTCGGTTATCTTCTACCCCACTGGTATTCAGACATAAGAAAAAACGAAAGAACTTTCTTAAATTCTTAAATAGCAAAGGCTACACGTTATCTTACTTTAAGACACTTTTTAATCTCTTTGCCAGTTCTGCTCGTTCCTTAAATGCCGCGTTCACTCTCATCACTCCACGAACTGAGGAAAAAAAATGAAACCAAGTAACGGCATGTAACTAATTATCCATTATTCATCCAAAAACAATATTCCTGTTTCTGATTCACATTTTAATAACCAGTAACCTACCCTTTGGAACAACTTGCTTTTTTCTTTCCTCCTCTTTTTTCTCTTTTTCTTTCATCTCCTTTTCTTTCTCTACATTTTCGTTAGTTTCAGTCCACTTTGTTTCTTCCAACTCTGTTTTGACCTCATCCTTATTACTATCATTTCTATTAGGTACCGTCTCCTCCCCAGTCCTCGGCTCTGTGGACAGTTCACCTTTACCAGTCTCCTCGCTTACAGTTACAGGTCTTTCTTCAGTAATCTCCTCAGTTTCTTCGAATGGCGACTGACTAACAACCACAGAACCATTTTTGCTGCCATTATCTTCTTCGTCAGGTTCTTCTTCTGCTCCTTTTGGTTTCGTTTTTGAAGGTTTGTCTCTTTCTTTATAAACAACAGTCCGTGATATGACTTTCTTGGAAGGTTTTGCTTTTCTAATTGAACTGCTGGAGTATGCAGACGGTTCAGGTTTGGAGGGAACATCCTCTTTTGCCAACGGTTCAAACAATTCAGGGTCCTTTAGAAATAGAAATTAAATCATGGTTCAGTTCTACAGTTTTTTCTTTTTCTTCTTCTTAAGAAAAAGAAAAAGACAAAAATCACCCAATAGCCACAGCTGTCCCAACCAGATACTGTTTCATCAGGTCTCAATGAGTATCAGGACTAAAGAAACACTAATCTTTCCCCAAATGGAGGTAGCCCCGATCAAAGGGATGCTCCCTGCATTTTGTCCCTTAACAAAGATGAGAGGTTTACCGGCCTCAGGGCAGTGAAATAGATTGACGAACTTGACAAGGTTTCTTTGCTTCCCACCCCTCTATTTCCACACGCCTTAATTCTTCACCTCCACAGGGAAAAAAACGGAATTTCACAACTATATACAGATATAGAAGCCATTAAGTCCTCGAGACGATACTCGTTTATTTTGTACTTAATAAAAGTCCTGAAAAATGGGTGATGTGTTCATTTCTTCACCAAGCTTGAAATCTACTATCTTCTTTTATTTATCAATAAGTCCTATGTGCATTCACAACTGAGTGTGTGCCCCAGAACTGTTTTCCGGTTGTTCAAACTACACAAGTTACATCAATAAATGATTATCTAGACTAAATACCTTTTCTTCCTCTGCCTCCGGCTCCTCGTCCATTTCCGTCTCTATTTCTTTTTCTAGGTTATTTTCTTCGTCCACGTTTAGAGACATTTGGTTTATTTTTGCTCTGACGCGTTTAACATTGTTCAAGTCTTTCTTCTTTCTCTCCGTAGGAGGACCCCTATCAATTTCAAACGAGATCTGAGGATATTTATCTGACAATTTTCACCTTTTCCTAAACCTCTTTATAAAAGGGAGACCTGGGCCGAGTTGTTCGAAGCCTGGTCTTACAGTGATATGGGCATCCCATTCCCAAAACCCTTACCTAGGATCCGGGCATCCCCTTCTCATATTACCTTAGCGATTTGGGTTAGGGTCACAGGGAATGCCAATATCATTAGGGTGTTAGGAATGGGGATGGACAAAACGCTCTTTTCATGTTTAAAGCTGTTATTTTATTGGTGGCAGTTCCCTTAGTTTGAATTTTGAATAAATTTCGTGACACAGTTCAAAAAGTGACACACATCGATACCAAACCACGACCCAGACAGCTGTTTCGTCCTCATCATGGCCGATACAACAGCATAGCATAGCCTTATATTAAGACCCCTGTACGACCAATTAAGTCATGGTAACAAAACCGGGGTTTTAAATCGTCTTTCGAGCAACTGATATTACCAGCTTTAATACCAGCTAAGGGCTGTTAGGGTCAACCTGCTAAAATAAAGTTTGACTTGACTTGTATGAAAATAGGTTCAGTCTCAATGTAATTGAGAAACTTCACTCGGAATTAATAGACAGTCTATTGAAGACGTATTGAAATAGAAGACTACATTCTACTATTTATCCGTTAAAGTAAGTTGCACTTTGAAACAACTGAGGATGGACCAGTTTGAAAAATATTTGAATTCTTACCGGTTCTTTCGTTCTTTCCTCCTTGTTTGTATGTTCTGGGACTTAAAAAAAAACAAAATTAATTTACAAGTAGGTCGAGCTTTAAAGATTCATTTGTCTTGTGTTTTGTATGCACGCTATACAAGCCTGTATTGCCTGTTAGTTTTAAAACAAATACACGAGCTCTTATTAGCCACAGGCAGCCCAAACTGCGCTGGAGCCGAACCTGAATTCTGTAGCATGTAGCAGCTTGAAGTTTTACTTCTCTACTCTGGACATAATAAATAGTGGAGCCCATTATCCTCTTTTGACATAATACATACTTTTTTGTCCATAGGAAGGGTTATCCATGCTCGCCGGCTAATGTACACCTTTTCCTGCTTCATGGGAGACAGTGTAGCGCTAAATGTTGTCTAAGGAACATCGTGATAAGACAGCAAAGGCTCGAAAACGCATTCAAACGTGCGTAGCACTATTATACATCGCCTCCACTCAGTTCCAAACATACATGTACAAGAGGCATTTCTTGAAGCTAGTTTGATTGTCTGTTCAATTTATAATCATTTGTTCACAGAACCAAAACCAAACCTAATTTATTGATTTTAAGGTCTAGAACGAAATGTCAGGGAGAGTGTAGATCTCTTTTCTAATAGAAGTGAAAGTGGCAGCTTACTATAAAAGTTGGCTCTCTAGTATGTGAAAGGAATTAACAAAGGTGTTTTGTTCAAGACTGTACAGTAGTCTCCATACCTGATCTGTGATACTTATTTCTTCAGCATGCTCTGATTGGCTGCGCCTAAGGTAAAGTTCGTCTTTTTCTGCGGAGGAGTCCTCGGGTCTTGAATTCTCTATAAATGATGGTAAGGAAACTTTTCAAGGAAACGATGGCAAAAGGTCAATTACAAATGACGTTTTAAATTCCAGTTGGTCATTTTGTCTCCAGGGTAATTGTGATACACGTCGCTCGAAAAACAGCTAGTTTAAACGTAGTAGCGTATACATTATGCCGATTTTGTTTGATAAGGTAACAACTCTTACCTATTAGAGATCTTTTCTTGTTCTGTTCAAAAGTTGGTTCGCCGTCAAAATCTAGATGCACATGAATAAAACATTGTTGCTGTCATACGCATAGTAATGGAGGGTTAATACTAAGTGATCCACAGATAACTTTCAATAGATATGACTTTAAAGTTTTTTGGCCCATGTTGGTTAGGGTTTAGAATAAATTTTTCACTTAAGCCTTGTTGCCATCGTGTCATGCTACAGCTATAAGTCTAAAATCAAAATCAAAACGAAAATCATTCGTTGTTCTGATTATTACGAGTGTTGTTATAATTGTTGTTAACATCAGTATAATCATTAGGTAATGTAGTTATCATCATCTTCATCATCGTTATCGTTTTTTAGCAGTAAAGTTTCGTGAGAAAATACCCCGAGCAAAATGAATGCAAGTGCCCATGTCACTCAGTATTAACGCATTTACAGGCATTACTTCCACTTACCATCTGACCCAACATTTCCATCTTCTTCCTCTACCTCTATATCTTCGGTTATTTTTAGTCTTCTACAAGCGGATGTGCACTTGTATCTTGGCTTATTACAATTCTCGCAGATATCCCTGCAGGCACTGCATGGTCCACCCGGCCGCTGACACATAGTACCGCACTTCGCGCAAAGTCCCTGACACTCGGAAATATGGGCTCCGCATCGATAACAGTCAATTCCTCTGCACCTTAAAGGCCCCTCTTCTGTGGTATTTCTTCCGTGACTCTCCCTTGAACGAGGCGCTTGAAATTGCTGTGTAAAATATATCAGGTCACTTTCGCTTAAGTCATCTTCGTCACGTGGTACACGCATTCTTTGGCGAGGTGTTATGTCGTCAGATTCTGATCCTAATTGTTAGAAAAATCATCATCATTATCATGAATTATCATCATCATTATCATGAATTATCATCATCATTATCATGAATTATCATCATCATTATCATAAGTTATCTTTATCTTTATCATCGTAAGCGTTAGCTTTAAAGTACATTGAGCAAAATGGAAAGCTGGATCAGACATGAGTAATTTTTCTTACCCTATATGAAATTTACAGCCACCCCACACACACTTGTAATGCAGGAAATCGGAAACCTTTTTTTTTTGTTATTTGCATCTTTCGTCATTCTAGAAGCTTCAGGTCAAAATTCTCATAAATTCAACCATCAAATAGTAGGTAGCGGAAAGACGAGACTCTCGTGGACGCAGTAGAAACAAATGCTCTGTTTGTTAGTGAGCCAACGCTAAAAACTAAGATCTGACACACACATGAACATGACACGAAATCATTATTCTCATTAGCCTGAGAAAAAAAAGCGACATTTCGCTACGTCACCACTTGTTTCCCACGAAATGCTTTATGACGTCTGAGGAAAGAGGGCTACAATTCCATACTGATGACGTGTCACAAACCAGATTTGAGTGGTGCTTCTTATAGTGTCTGAAGCAAATTTTAAACCAATCAAAAGCACTACCCAGATCAGGGTAGTGACACGTCATCTGGGAAACCGGTGATGACCTCGCGAAATGTCGGTTCTCTTTTCAGGTTATTTTCGTTTATATTTTACCTGAGCCAATCGTTGGAATAGGTTTAACGATCGTCTTCTTACTTGATTTCCTTTGTCTTACAGGGGTCTCGCCCGCACTACCCTGCGAAATCTCATCTCTACCAGTACCTCCTTTAAGTGTGCCTTTGTGTTGGTCCGTATCAACCAGCCTGCTCTCTTTTCTCCTTGCAGCATTAGAAACAGTCTTATCAGATTCTTTTCTTAATCTCTCTTGTTTTCCAGTCTTACTAGTTTTCCCTTCACCGCCTTTCTGCCAATGATCCTCCTCACTGCTCGACATACTTAGCTCGCTAAGAGGATGAACGTGTAAACTGAAATCACTATCCCAGTCGCTGTCCCAGTCGCCATTGGTTACCGGGGTTTTCTTTAAACCGTCTTCTCCCGAAAGTCTTCGTGAATCAGAGCGTTCAGCGACTGCAAATAAGATAATAATATTTAGATATTAAAAGAGATCAAACCCACTACTGACATAGTTTTAACGACGTTGTACAGCACATAAGAAGTAAATTTACTAAAAACCTAAAGTTGGCTTTTTACCTCCCGGCTCGGCCGTATCTTCTAGTCTTACCTATTTCTCTTCTACCTTTTGATGCCTTTCTCGTCATCTCTTTCACTTCCTCCTTTTTCCTTTGATTTTTCCTCGCTTCGCTTCGAGCCTGTTGAATTTGGGCCTATAATGAACTTAGGTCAGCGTTCCCTTCACTGTCAGCCAGATAGCCGTCTTGCTGCCTTGGCGATATGGTCATTGACGACGAGCATTCTTCGTACTCCTAATGAAACAATGAAAAGATGCAGGCTAAGCTATTCGCAATTCAATAGCGCATTGTTTTCAAGTAAGACTTATTTGACTTCCTGGAAAACGATGTATGCTTTGGTACAATTATACCGGTAAACTTCAAACCAAGCCGTGAATAAAATTGAACAAAAAAATCTTTGTTCCGAAAACGAGATGAAGGGGAATTATGTTGTTGTTCTAAAAGTAGGGCCAATTAGTAAGAAGAATAACCGCGATTAGCACCGTTGGAAGGTCTGTTGTTGCATTTCAGTGAAAACCACCAAAAATCGCTGTTGAGCCTTATGGCCGGGTGTTTTAGCTAAATTTTCAGTTTTTTTACCTTTACAAAATTGTGTTGAAAAATTTGGGGTACCTCTAAAAAGCAAGTGCACTTTATAACCAAAAAGATAGTATTTATTCACTAAAATAATTTACATCTTTGGAATAAAAAAAAGGTACCTGATCAGATGGGGAAGGCTTGGAGGGTCTTCTCTCTAAACCAGAACGACGGGATACACTACTCCAGCTGTCCGCTATGAATTCTGGATCAGATAAAGAGTCCCCGCTGACTCTTGTCTCAGGATTGATTATGAAATCATCTTCGTCACTCACTTCGATGACTGGTTCCGAAGAAAAAACAAGATCACGTCTGTCCAGGCCCACCGTGTAAAATGAATCCATTCTTGGTAAAGATGTTTTATATTTTTTAATTGCGCTATCTGCTTTAGTCACTTTTTGTTCTACATTCACAATTTCCTCTTCATCGCCGACGACTTCACCTGACCGTGATGGCTTGTTTGTTTTTTGGTCGACGGGAATTTGTTTACTTGTTTTCCTCTTTCTTTTTGGCTTACTGGTCGCCTTTTCTTTTCGTGCAAATTTTTCCTCATAATGGCCATGTTTTCTCTCCTTTATTTCTGTTCTTTGTTCTTTTGACTTCCTTCCCACACCTTTCTCATCTTGATTACCTTGTATCAAATCACTAGGCTTTGCAGTTTCACCAAATGTCTTCCTGCGCAAGCACACTGTAAATCCTGATTCCGGATCATAGTCTTCTATCATTTCAAAGTCACTCAAAATGTCATCATCACGATCAGTTATATCGGACCAACAACTTCCGGTTTGCTCCGCATCACCCCACTCCCCACTTCTATCCTCATATTCTTTCGTCACTTCCGCTCGATCTGAACCATCATCCCATGCGCGTCGCACATCACGAGGTTCACTTATTTTATCGATGTCCGCCCCAGGTTCAGTTATGAATACACTGTCACCTGATTCGGAGCGTGGCATTTGGGAAACTTGGTATCTAGCTTCCAGTTCGTCATCTATTTGGCTTTGTCTGCTCATATGTAGTCTGAAAGACTCCATATCATCGTGCCAATCTAATGAGCTGGAAACCGGCGATACTCTCGCGTTATCTTTCGGGGAAGATCGCGGTTCCCTTGCATTATTAAAATGCCTATGATCAACGATAAATCTAGTGTCCCTTCTGCTCAAAGTGTCCAGAACGCTTTCATGTAAGTCGTTTCCAGTAAGTGCTTGATAATCCATGGTAGGAGTTCCACATTTATGGCACCGTTTTGGGGTTGCTAGTATCGTACGAATTTTCCCTCGAGAGTTCGTGATCTTTTCCGTGACAAGCAACCTTGCGTTACATGATGTACACCTGTAGCCAGGAGAGAAATCGGGATCATACTGGCCTATTGAAGGAAGGACGTCAAGAACCTGGCAAAACGGAAAACAAACAGGACGAATATATATTTAAGCAATAGACCACACTTTCTATGGGTTTACCGGCGTGATAACCCACGCGGGATGTTGGGAGAACACGAGAAAAGTTTGTAAATCACGAGCCGAAGGCGAGTGATTTACAAGCTTTTCGAGTGTTCTCCCAACATCCCAAGTGGGTTATCACGCCGGTAAACCCATAGAAAGTGTGGTCTATTGCTTTTATAAAATAACTTCTAGAAGAATGGAGTGTTTTAGGTAAAAAATATGGTTCTAGTACCGTGATCAAGTCACGTCTTCTCTCTAAAGTCATCATAAGCCAATCATGACTCACGATTTAATAGCGTTGAACTTTCTCAAAACTCAGTTCAGTCAAACAACAAACAACAGCACTTCAAAACACGAGTTTTTGCACTCATTACATGATAACTTATGAAAGTTGTTTTACAGGAAAAGTCAACACATATTCATGCGAACATACAATGAAAGAATACGTTCATGGTTTGTTTACTACAGAAGTAGAAATTAATTGAACATCAGACTGTACGCAGCTGTATTTTGTTGAGTCGATCGTAAGAATTTCATTGTTACAGACGGAACTGACAGCTATTGTAATGGAGGACTTCATTCACTTTTTACAAGCTGCAGTGGTTTGAGATCTGTTTTCTGGACTATTATGATCAAGAAATGCTGGGGTAACGACGTGGCTGCATTTGCGAAGTTGTCGCATGTAACTTTATATGCGCGTACAGCGACCGATGGAAATATGTCAGTGGTGGAGAAAGGTTTCTTTGCCGTAGCCACATATTGGCGTAAATATTTGTCGATTCGTGAAGTCAGGTGGTTTGAGGTAGGTTATGGCATCGATATCACCGAATAATTTGTGCAAATGTTGGAAAAAACCGGCACGAAACTCTGACATCTTTCATCATCGTTGGCAGCTTGTTTACAACCCACAGCGGCAGATTTTGTACCATATCTTGATCAGAGATCTCTTTTTGGAACAATTTCTTTCATTAAGGCATTTAATTTTGACATAAAATAAATCAAGAATGCTAAAACTATCCGTTTTGTTGCTGGTTGGCACATGGGTAAGTTTTCCTAGAGACTTCCTACACCAGAAATTCACACAGTTATTGTCTTTCTCTGCGATTGGCATCGTCGTGAAATGTAGACAGTTTTCCAGCTTTGTACTTTATAACTTCTAAAGCTATGGCAGTAGCGAATTGTGAGGCTCAGTAATAAAATGTGGAAACCAACGTTTTTAATATTAAGAAGGGCTGGGTAAGTAACTTGTTCTGTTTTTTAGCCTTTCTAAAATCGTTGTTTGCAGATCAATAGCGGGTTTTGTTTATGGCTCGTGGTCCGGATGCCTTTTTCTATGGGTTTACCGGTATAATAAACCATAGGTTTTTGACCAATCAGATCACGCGTACTATCTCAGTTATTTTATAAAGTCTGATAGTCAATGATGTTTCGTTTGAGAACAATCAACTACTTCTTCATCTCAGAAGAATGTTAGAAAACTCGTTCTCACCCAAATACCCAAGGTGCTATCAGACTTTGAATTCTTAAAATAATAAATCAACTGAAAAAAAATGTAAATTATATGCCCCTCACTCACAATTTTTTTGCTCCTTATACAGTTTTGAGAAAAAAGGTTTAAACTTGCTTGGAATTCCTCGGGTAGTGCAAGTCTTAACGATGGAAGAGAGGAGAACAGATGATCTTTATTTTAATTATTCGACTGGAGGTGACGGGAAGATTTCGTGAAATGAAAAAAAAAACCTTTCTACCTTCCAGCTTAGTCTCCGGTAACCTCCGCCAACTCGTATGACAGGATTTAGTGCAAAAGCATCCTACAACACAACAAAAGTCATGAATAAAACTTCCGTGTTTACCCTTGTGGACACGGCACGCTGAGTTACCTTACCTCTAAAAAACTGGAAACAGGCCCCTTCAGTCTCTGATTTTGCAAATTTAATAATATGATGCGATTCCAATATGGCAAACGTGGGGGCTCGTGAAAAAGAGTCAGATCTAGCCGTGTGGAACCTGGAGCTGGTGGAGTTGGTTTGTTTCCTCAAGATTTATTGTAAACAACAACAAAAGAACAAACGATCACTAGCATGCATAGTGTTCGCGAACAGAATGATCTTAATGAAACGTTCTGGCTAATAATGGACTCCTCTTTACGACTGGGCCGGTCACCTCTGACTAATATTTGGGCAGCTTAAGCAACGACGACAGCAACGTCACTGAGAACGGCAAAAAAGCAACAGATTTAGACATGGGGGTTCGTGAAAAAGAGTCAGATCTAGCCGTGTGGACCCTGGCGTTGGTGGAGTTGGTTTGTTTTTTCAAGATTTATTGTAAACAACAACAACAACAAGAACAAACGATCACTAGCATGCATAGTGTTTGCGAAGAGAATGATCTGAATGAAAAGTTCGGACTAATGATAGACTCCTCTTTACGACTGGCCTGTCACCTCTGACTAATATTTGGGAGCTTAAGCACCTACGATGGCGACGTCACTCAGAACGGCAAAAAAGCAACAGGTTTAGATTGACAAAGCAACAACTTTGCACGTGCATCACACTTTTTTTGTACATTGTTTTTGCCCTCATTGCACGACTACGACGTGAAAATGCCTATTTTCACGTTTTGTGGAAGGTGTGAACACAAGAAAAGACTTTCTTTCTCCTTTCCTGAACTTCGATTCAGTCTTTCAGAATTCAACTCCAGAGAAAAATTGCCAACATTTGTGGACAAATTGAAATAGATGGAATAAAATGCAGCGCGACTTCACTTTTTTGGTGACGTTTTCGTAGCCGTTGTCGTTACTGCTTATGCTTGAGCTCTAATAAGCACCCTAAGGTAGCAGCCATTTGCGAGAACATGATCTGCCTGAAGAAATCTAATAACGTTGAAAAGTCACCTTTTAATTAGCTTAGACATTTTATTGCCTTGCTATAAGCCTTCTTTAACAGTTTGAGCAGTGATGGTAGAATTCCACAATTTAGTAACCGATAATTAGAATTTACTGTAATGAATTGTAAATGTAATGTATTGTAATTGTTTGTGTGTCCGAAATAAATGAATAAATAAATAAAGAATTACACAGTGAAGGCCAGGTGAGGGGATCTCTCGCACAGCTGAAATATTCTTGCGACTGAAACTTACCCTATCGGACCTCTGGCTTCTGAGTAGTCGAGGGCAAGGTGAAGTCAATTCTGGAAGAGCAGTCTGTGAGAAAAAAAAATCAAACTGAAGAATCTTGACAAAGTCTTGCCTGTCATGGACCCCTTTATGATTTTGGATCGGTGTGTACCGTGGGAACCTGGGAACCTGGGAACCATTAGCTTATTGGCCATTTTCAGGTTGAGCATGGGAGTCGGTCGGTCGAATTGCAATATGGAGACGCTATCACTTCTTTCATTGCCTATTACGAATACTATTGCTATTACTATTATTGCTTGCCAGGCAACCTAAAACTGACTGCCCCATGGTGTAATTTGATGCAACACCGACCCAGTCTGAGGCACAACCTCAAAATGGCTGAAACCAGATCTTCGTAAATGGTATTTTGCCACCACCTTTTAGGCAAGGCTTCCAAGCCCCTTACCCTATTCCAGACAATTCCACACTACTATTGTAACTATAAGCCAGAAAATCTCTATCCTTTGTCGCAACATACCCTTCTCTGGGTGTTCTCTCTTGATCTTTTGTCTTCCGGGGAGAGCACCTTTATGCTAAATGGAGGAGGGTGGATGAAGCTGAAGTATTTTGAAACATCCGTGCCACGACTGGTCTGTTTGGTAAAAAGCAAGACAAGGAAACAAAAATCGGTAGAAAGAGATATTTGATTGAGTAACGCGGAATTTGTGGGAGACTTAAGCCCCCCTGCAAACGAACGCAACATTGTTGGATGTTACATGTTGCGTCCGTTGCAAACCCTGTTGCATGTTTTTGGGTGTTGCTGGGAGTTGCTGTATCCATTTGCACACCACTGCGACGCAGATGCATCAACACGCAACATTGTTGGCGCACCAATGTTGGAAGTTGTCTCGTTAGTAAGAAAGTAGCTTAATTTTCTTATTATTGAAGTATTTTATGATAAAAGATTGCCTCATTAGTTTTCTTTAGACAATTGAGATTGACGGTTCCCGAGCAAACAAAAGAAACAAGACGGAAAATTTGAATGAACTTCGAGCCCCAAGAAACTGTCCCGATTTACTGGTTTTTCACCATTTTTAATAAGGTCAAGATAAAATTGAATGAAGCAATTTTTTTTTAAAGTTGGAATGACGCAAATTCGCTACTTTAGAAATGAGAAGGGAACTGGAGCCAAATGCGTCCCGCTATTGTTTCTGGGATTGTTATTGGGGAAGCCCATTCAGATATTGGCGAATTTGTTTTCCCTGTCCCAGCAGTAACAGTCCCAGAAGTGTGAAAGATTTGAACCCAGGAGCCATTTCATAAGTAGGTGAAGCGTAATCGTCCGGGTGATCGTAGTCCTGAATAGGACTGTTGTTGACAGTGACTGACGCCTCGACCACCCCTGCGGTAGCCATCTTCAGAGTCAAAGTGAGTTGTATCATGTCAGTTGATGGTATTAAACTCTGGTTTTTGACTTGATTGGCCAATTAAGTCGCGATGTTATTGATCGCCTGTCGTGCAGTTAAGCAGTGATGTTATTGGCTTTGAAGTCCCAGATGTCTTCGTGAAAATTAACTCGGTCCAGTTTCCTCTCATTTCTTAAGTGGCATTTAAACAGTTAGCCGTTCCCGAGTTCCCCCGGGCCTCGGTATCAAAACGAGGTTAAGTGCTCAGCATTTGATAGGGAAATGATTTTTCATTCTCATGCAAATAAAACTCATTTTCACAAGAAAGGTTGTGCACTTAGCCTCATTTTGAAAAAGAGGGTTTTTGGAACTCGGAAGTGCCTATTGAAGTCCTACCAACACTGTTGGATCCATTTTTGGAAGCCGTTGAACTACCCGGATGTGATTCCTTTCTAACCAGTCGTTCACTAACTCTTCCTGGCAAAATCCTGCGCTTGGAGAGGAACACCGCTGTATCTGCCATTTACTCAGTGGGCTCAATTGTTTGTTTTCCTGTTGATGATCGGGATTTGCTGTTGCTGGTGTCGTTAAAACAAAATACCATCAATTTCAGGTTCAGTCAATGTTTTTATGTTCATATGATAATCGCTACCCAGCAAGCATTCTTAAGCAAATAAAGCTTCCGCTTCCCCCTTTTTAGCTTTAGAAAAGAAACAAAAAAACAAACAAACAAGACAAGAACAAAAAAACAAATGAACAAGTAAAGGACATCCGAACTGACTTCTCTTAGCTTGATTTCCGAAAAAAGGAGTTACATACACAGTGCTGGCTGTTGTTCAGTAAAGCTCGCACCTTGAAGTTCCTTATAAACATGAAAAACTCGAAGCAAAGTAGTCTTTGAAGCCTCGTGTTCAGACGTTGTACCAGTTCAGTATACTGATGAACTAAAAGACTGTGGGAATGAGCCGTTCCTGAGTTGCCCCAGGCCTCTGTTTTAAAGTGAGGCTAAGTCTGAAGCCATTGATATGAAAATGGCTTTATATTCTCATGCAAATTAAAGCTCAATTTCTCAAGAAAGGTATTGCACTTAGCTTCGTAGTTTTTGGAACTCGGAAATGGCCTCTCCACGATGAAGGTGTTCTCAAAAGGGCCTGATAAGGGTATAGAAGTATCTTACTATCACGTTAGAATTAATAAATGTCTGCATGACGGCGCTTTACGCCTTTCCCCCAGTCCGTATCTCCAGGGTAATTATTCTCTCTATGGCAGGTATTTAAACATTCATCTGTCATGTCATTTTAAGGAACACATCAACTGACTTCATTTTAATAAACTAAATGGAAACAGTGTCTACAATTTAACAAAAGATTATCCCGTTAATCCCCGCTGCTAGATCACCATGAAATTTCATCGACTTCGTTTTTCTTTTTCAAACAAAGCAAAATATTTCAAAACGGTCAAAAATATATTTCTTTATTCTAGGATATGCGAAAAAATTATTAACGATTTCTTTACAAAGCAGCTCTGTGACTCTTGAAAAGGTAAATTACATGTAATTTTCAGATTACAACTGTCTTACAAATCATGGTTTTATCCGACCCGTTTTTTATTAATCTTAGCGGTTTCCTTAATTGATTTGGCGACTGCTGGTTATTTTTAAATCGCAAATATCGAGAAAACCATGTTTCCATGCTAAAAAACCTTACTAAGTTTTTCAAACCTAAAACAGGCTGGGCTTTTCGTTTAACCTGTTTTAACTGATCATTTATACTAACGACCGTTAACAACAAGGGAAAATATACCCTACGTGTCTAAACTGCGAGAAAAGCTTTCACCGACTTTTAAATCGTGATTAGTAAATCGGTAACTTTTTTAAAATGGTGATCAGGTTTGCGTTATATTTACAACTTTTGCGATACATTGGATCGATGTGCACAATTCATAACAAATAATCTTTTTTACTGCCTTCATAAGAGGATGTTACAGTCTTCATGTAATATTTCGACCCAGTTCGAGACCCGTGAATATGTCTGGTAGCTTACTTTCGATTTGACTTTGACTCATCGAAGACGTGTCAATAAATTTTTTAAGGAATCAGCTAAGCCGTAAAACATCGTTGTTAACACTGTGTGATATTAGGAAGATAAGAAAGAAAAAGTAATAATGTAACCTGACTGAATTGTCTAAATCAGGAAGAAATATACCTGCGAGAAAAACAAAATACTGGACTTCTTTGGATAAAAGTTGTCGGGAAAACCACAAAACCACAAAAATAGGGTAGAGGAAAATATAGGGTTTACTTATATTTGCTGGCTTCTAAAGCTCAAATAAAACATAATAAATTTGGACTGCTTACCTCGAACAGGCGGTAAAGCGATCATCCCTTCTTTTCTGTGTTCCATGCTTTGATCGATCCTTGTTCGTGAGTCGATAATAGATCGTTGAACGTTACCAAACCTAGATTCTTGTCTGGAAGCGAGAAGGGCTGATGTTTGGCCATTTTCAGCCGCCATTTCATTTATTTTCGCCAGATAAACATCTGCAGCTAAATGGTTTCCATGGAAAACCGTTCGAAGGTAATCAATAATTCATCCGATAAATTTAACTGTCAGTCGCAGGTGACTGAAAAATCTCGGCTAAGACTAACGTAGTGCCTTCCAAATGACCGCAGTATGATGCCATTTTTCTTGAAATGTATCAAAAAGGAAACGACATGGGAAATTTAACTAAGATCTAAAAGTGGTTTGTTTCTTTCACAGGTGTAAAAAATAACACAAGAAAAGAAAGGAAATAGGTGTTGCTCGCATGTCGTGGTGCAAGGCAATTTGTATGTAAATTAAATAAGCTCGGTCTACGCTGATCGCAATTCAATATAGTATGTTATTTCTAACGAGAAACAAAATAATTTGGAGATTTCTTCAAAACTTTCTATAATGCGATTTGGCAGTCAAGGAGATCCTTTGAAAAGCATATCGATTATTCTTAAGATCAAGCATATTTAACATATATACAAAAGCCAATATGGTCTCGTATTTCTTTCAGACGGAAATGAAATAGAAAGGTGCAAAATTTGTTTCTATTTTCTTCTTCTTTAAGTTTTAGGATATCCAAAGAGTAAACAGGGGTCAATCTTTTGCATTCAGATGAAGGTTTCTATAAGCTCGATTGACCGAAACAGTTTTCACCATTACTGTATTAAATGTCGAGGTGGTTTCCACGATAATGAGTTCTCCGGAAAGCCTTTTTAAAAGTAATTATAGCGATTGCAATGATCGTGGTGATTGCACGCAAACAAGCCTTGATCATCGAAAAACGATAGCCTGTATCAGGCGTCATTTAGGCGAACGTGAGGAGTCGATGAAGAGGGCGAGACTTGCGAGGCCTTGTTTAAACCGAGAACGCTCCACTGAAATCGGTCTGAGATGAGTTCTGAGATCTGTACTGAGATTACATTCAGCACGCGTTCACACTTTGACTTCTCAGTATTTAAACAATGAATAGTAACTAGCGAGGACTATGCAGATTGCGCAAAATTAAAACACTAGATCCGACTGTATTAAAAAAGCTGGCTCTTTTTTGGCTGGATTCTTGACTTTTCGCACGAATCACTGTAGTTATTGAATTCATGTTTTTTAAATGCTTTTGCCCTTTTCCGGTACCGCTTCCAGTCCCGTCCCTAGCCTGCGTAGCTGGCGGTATTGTCTCAGTTCGCGATTCAAGTTTTTGCGGCCGAGCCGTGATCCAAAAAAGTGAGTGGGGACGAGGGTATTTCTATTTCTACTTTAATTTTCCATCACGCCGCTCGTGACGAGTTCGCCGCCAAATTTCACTCGACTACTACATAAAAAAACCGCCCGCTACACGGGCTATCCCATCCCTTGAAATGACCCTGGAGACGCAACATTTTCAGGAAACCAAGTAGGCAAGAAAGATTGGAAATAAAAAATAACGCGAGGAAGAAGCATAGTAAAGCCAATCGTTAAGATGGAGGCTGTGATAGTGAAAATAATCCAATCATGCACCACACAAACTCAGAAATAGAAGCCATTTATTGTTTCAAAATCTGCTCTAATTCAACACGGCGAGGCGCCTATATCACGATCATAACCGTACAATACTGAATCACTGCGTGTCACACGAAGACTTTTGTCGTCACACAATCCTATTAAGGCAACTGATCAAGGCATCCTCTTATATTTCAAGTGACGACAAAAATCCTCGCCTCGTTTGTAACAAGCGGCATTTTCTCCCATTTCCTCGCATTTTACAGGAGAAAAGTTACTGCATGAAGATAGCGGTTGCTTAGTGTAGAAACTGTTGCCCAATGAAATCTTAACCATACTGCCTTAGCAATGTGACTCCAAGGAATAGAGGTAATTCACAACAACCCGTTTTGCTGTGGCCCTCTTAAATTCTAAAGTAACCGGACATTATTTCTCTATATGCTACTTTTTTTCACACGATCGGCATTAGTGGACTAGCCGTCCAAACTAACCAATAAGAACAGCATCAGTTATCTAACTGGGACCTGCAAGTCCAGTCTAAGTCTATTTCTTCCGGTCACAACATAACATATTGACTGTCATTACCCTTCTAGTCCGGGAGAAGGTAGAGTGAACGTTCTTTGTCAAAGCACAAAATCCGAACAGTTTCCAGCAAAATGCTTAACAAAACTGAAGTACTTCAAACAGCACGTGTTATAAAACGCTGTTTACGATTGAACAACAATTAGAAAAATTCTCGATTCGCACTTTGTGACATATTAGGAGCTTTAAGTCTTGTCTTCATTTTTTTAACGTGGTCAGGTCACAAATAAAATGCCTCTGAATTTCACGGCATTTTGTCAACAAAGGACCTTGTTCAAGTTTCCAGATAAACTTCCTGGTCCTGAAAGTTTCATGGTTCCAGTAGATGAACCGTGCGTGTTTCACGCCAAACCAAAGCCTTCCGGACACTCGTCCACGGCTTTGTTCAACATGGACCGTAGCTTGTCGTAGGTCTCATAAGCAGGTAGATCAAGTTGGTTGAAACTATAAAACGCAAAGAGAAACAAAAGAACAAATTGAGTAAAATAGAGAGAGGATGTGACGCACAGATCTATTAAGAAAAGGTGAAACGGGCAACAAGAACGCGTAAATTGCTTTACGATATTGCCGCAAAACTAGTCGAATAATCATGTTGCGCGTTTTATCACCCACGAATAAAACTTTGCCACAAAATCTGTACATGTTGCCCGTTTTACCGGCCCAAGGGAAACTTGTTTTGCTACAAGTGATGTCAATTCAGTGTATGGCGTGACTCCCGCGTAATTTTATCCAATCTGAAGTCAGAACTAACATTATCTGAATTTGCCTTAGTTCGCTCCGTTATTATACAAAGCCTATTTTGAGAGACACCTCTCATAAAGCGTCACCTAGACTTGGTCTCTGCCGTTCTACAGTTGTTTTCTTTGGCTCTTGGAAGAGCGGACATAGCTCTGAAAGAATGACCAGGTCCACATGTTCTCGTCTTAGAAAGGGTTGACTAAGAATGTGACTTATCACAAATGAAATAGTAACCACTATCAGGAATCAAATTGTTCAAACTTACCACGTGTGTGCTGAGGGTAACCTGTCCGTGGATCGATCGTCACGGTGGATTTGGAACTTCTGGAATCCATTCATGCCCTCTAGGGCGGCGAATCCTTGTAACGGGACCTTGCTTGTACCGGTGACGAACTGAAGGAATTTAGCACGATCTGCCTGGTCGAAGGATCTCAGGGCTCTCCAGAACCATTGAATCTATTATAAATAAATAAATAAATAAATAAATAAATAAATAAATAAATAAATAAATAAATAAATAAATAAATAAATAAATAAATAAATAAATAAATAAATAAATAAATAAATAAAATAGTGACAAAGATTTAAGCCACTGGAGTGAGCATAGCTTCTTAAGATTAATCATAATAAATGTTTTCCATACATGATGATGAGATGTCGTGAAATCCAGAAATTTACGTTGATCAAATTGACCCTTCAACGGTTTTTTAAACTTTTGACTGGGCGAAAATCCATCAACTCGGCCACAAAACGCCTTACTATTAGTAAAGATGCCAAGTTTTAACGTGATTGGTTGAAAACTAGCCATGCCATTGCTCTGCAAAGTCGCCTAACTTTACAGACGTTTGTATGGTGGGAGGCAAGTTCGTGCCACCCACAACACAAACGTCTGCAACATTTCGCGACTTCGCGCACGCTCTTAACGTACCACCTTATAACTTGGCAAGTCGTACCCTTTTTTGAACAAAAAATTCAAGGACTTTACAAGGAGTTTCAAGGACACATTTCACATTTTTCAAGGACTACATTCAGTGCAAAAAAGAGCCTTGAGTCTATGTCTTCTTTTAGTTCTTCCACATCATGAGATCTTTGTGTTTGCTCCTTTTCCTTTTCAGTACTCCTTAAACTATTAAGTTAGCATTGAAATTCAAGGACTTCTTTTCCAGTACCAACTGCAATTTTCAAGGACTTTCAAGGATTTTCAAGTTGGCAGCGTCAGTGGATTTTCACCAACTGGCCTTTACCGAAAAAAAAAAACCGTACAAGAGTCTTTAGACATAGGCTTTTGTCCGTTCAAATAACCTGCCCTGAAGATTTAGCACGCCCCAGCAGGTAGAACTGACCTGTAGCGAACTCTCGGTGTATTTGTGGTATTCTGTGTTAGCTTTCAAGTCATCCAAGTCAATATTCGGCAACCCAGATATGAGTAGCTCCAACTCTTGCTCATCGAAGATTGATATCAGTCGCTTGGGAATGATCTCGTAGAATCCTTCCAGAAATGAATCGATCTGTTTTCTTATGGCCCCTGTCATTTTCATCTGACACACCAGTTTCACGTACTCTTTCTTGTTCTCCTCCGTGACAGGAATGTTTCGACCTGTGGGTTTCAGATCGCGGATCTCTGATAAGCCAAACTCTTGCACCTGAGAATAAAGTCAAAGTTCGAACGAATCAGTGGACAGATCGGAGGATCAAAGGAGGAAGAAAAGCTATGACTCAAAGACATCTTATTATTTAGATCTAACGCTAAATGTAACATTATTTAGAATAAAAACAGGAGAAAAACTTCAGTTGTAATGGTACTTAGAATAAGAGGAAGGTAAGTCATCCCATACTTACGCTTAAAGTGAATTATTATTCATTCAAAATATTTCCCCGATTCTGATTGGCTAAAAGCACACGTTTAATTCACCATAACCAGTTACTGATGACCAAATTTGGAAGAATTTTGACTTTAACGAGGAAATGACGTCAAAAATGCAGCGTTTTCGCAGGTTAAGGCACCGTTAACCGAGAAGACCTGGGGACGAGGTTGAGTTGTTTTGGTTGTGAACTTGAAAAAATGGCGGACATTTCAC